GTGGGGCATCTTCGTATCCACGTCGACCCTTGCGCTTCCGCTCATCCGACTTGCGCGCCTGGTATGGCAGCGCGCCATCTATTTCTCTTTGCTCTCTGGTGACCGCTTCGGGCTGCAGCCGCTCGCTCGGGGACTGAAAAAATCCCGCTTGATCTGGACGAACAGTAAACTCTTCCTGGAGGCGAATCCGCACTTCGGAAGATGCAATCTGAGCGATGACACCTTCTACAGCACTAACACGGAAAACTGCCTTGAGCATGAATGCACGTGCAAGCAGCAGTGACAAGCGACAGCAACCTCATGGAGCACCCCTCCAAAAAATGAAGCATAGCACCAACACAAAGAAGCCGTGTCGCCCTGATCAACTGTCGCCGCAAACATTCTCTGGGCAAGCTCCGCTACTGAGACACTCATAATGCACATTTTTTGTCGGCAGCAATCGTGTGCGGCAGAAAGCCCTGGCAGCGCCAGCAACTTCAAGGACGCCAGGGAAAAAAATCCGCCTGCGCCGCACAGACCGGAAGGTCCAGGAGCTGTGGAATGCAGAGCCAGTCGGCGACGTTTCGGAAAGATCCGCCTGCGCCGCACAGACCGCCCGCCGTCCATCACAGCTTCAGCTTTCCAAAGAAGTCCACCAAGTCATCGTCAAGCGGGAAGCCATTAGCTCCATCTAGCGCCCATTCTTCTGCGCCCTTGCCGCAAGAGGTGCAGCCAACATCGAAGTCCGGCGAGTCAGCAAAGAAGCGCAAGCATGTCAGGCAGCGATCCTCCGCTGCGTACAAGAACAAGTACTCCCTCATCTTCTTGGCCGTCTTTTGGCCGTGCTTCTTGAAGAACTTCTTGCAGTGTGGAGCGTGAAAGCAAGGTCCCACATCCACCGGAGGATGCGGCGCAGCCTTGGGCGCAGAAGTAGAGGATGCCGACTTGGAAGCAGGCTTTGCCGATGGAAAGCGACCAGTTTGCCGGTATCCCCATGGATCCTCTTCGCCAGCAGCACGCGGCTCTTCACGGCGGGAAGAGGCAGCGGACGACTGGTCTCCTTGACGAAAATCACGGAAGTCGTCCCAGGCTGCCAGGACAGCTCTCACTCGCTCCGGATCCACCTGCGGCGTGCAGCTGTTGGCCTGCTTGTCAGGATGGTTCTGGCGAAGCCACTGGAAGTACTTCTTCTTCACGTCTGCGAAAGGCACCGTGAAAGCATCCACGTTCTCAAAACCCAGCTCTGACAACAAAGAACCGAAAGGAGCCATGGCTGCAAATGATGCGATGTATCTTTTTTCTACAACTCGATAAATCAGGTCGGGAAGCCGTGTCGCCCTAATCAACTGTCGACGCAAACATTCTCTGGGCAAGCTCCGCTACTGAGACACTCATGACATCCAAGCTTCGGCTACTATTGCTCTTGTCAGCTGCCTATCACTCCAAAATCCAACTGCGCATGTTTATTTTACAAGCCAATTACAAAAGCCAACTGCCCAATCTCACTTCACAAGCCAATGACAACTGCCAACTGCCCAATCTCACTTCACAAGCCAAATGCACTGTCCCAAAACACAAGCCAAATTTTCGAGTGTTACTTCACTATCCTAAAACGCAAACTAACTTCTCGGGCGTTTCTTCGGCATCGTAAAGCGCACGTATTTTTTTCAGGCGTTACATTGCAAGCCGACTTTTCCTTTTCTACCTTCTCTTCTCGATTCTGAGTTCTTTCTTCTTTTTCCGGCGGAGCTGGGGAGACGCTCTCCGCGCCGAGATAGGTCCGCAAGTGCTTTGTGCAAGTGCTCTGTGCAAGTTGCTCTGCGCAAGTTGCTCTGCGCAAGTTGCTCTGAGCAAGTGCTGCCGGAGCTGTGGGAATGTACTTCGCGTACTATTTTTTTGTACTTAAAAGTTGTGATTTTCCAGCCGGAGCTGCGGGAGTGTGCTCCGCGTACTACGTTTGTACTTAAAAGTTGCGATTTTCCAGCCGGAGCTGCGGGAATGTGCTCCGCGTACTATGTTTGTACTTAAAAGTTGCGATTTTCCAGCCGGAGCTGCGGGAGCACGCTCCGCATACTACGTCTGTACTTAAAAGTTGCGATTTGCCAGCCGGAGCTGCAGGAGCACGCTCCGCGTACTACGTCTGTACTTAAAAGTTGCGATTTGCCAGCCGGAGCTGCAGGAGCACGCTCCGCGTACTACGTTTGTACTTAAAAGCTGCGATTTTCAAGCCGGAGCTGCCGCGGACCAGGGGGGAATCGAACCCGAGACCGCGGGATTGCGAAAGCAGGCGCGCAAACCACGAGACAACTTCCAAAGGCCGTTTCGCGAGCAAGAAAATCGCACGGTCTTCTCGATTCTGAGTTCTTTCTTCTTTTTCCGGCGGAGCTGGGGAGACGCTCTCCGCGCCGAGATAGGTCCGCAAGTGCTTTGTGCAAGTGCTCTGTGCAAGTTGCTCTGCGCAAGTTGCTCTACGCAAGTTGCTCTGAGCAAGTGCTGCCGGAGCTGTGGGAATGTACTTCGCGTACTATTTTTTTATACTTAAAAGTTGTGATTTTCCAGCCGGAGCTGCGGGAGTGTGCTCCGCGTACTACGTTTGTACTTAAAAGTTGCGATTTTCCAGCCGGAGCTGCGGGAATGTGCTCCGCGTACTATGTTTGTACTTAAAAGTTGCGATTTTCCAGCCGGAGCTGCGGGAGCACGCTCCGCATACTACGTCTGTACTTAAAAGTTGCGATTTGCCAGCCGGAGCTGCAGGAGCACGCTCCGCGTACTACGTCTGTACTTAAAAGTTGCGATTTGCCAGCCGGAGCTGCAGGAGCACGCTCCGCGTACTACGTTTGTACTTAAAAGCTGCGATTTTCAAGCCGGAGCTGCCGCGGACCAGGGGGAATCGAACCCGAGACCGCGGGATTGCGAAAGCAGGCGCGCAAACCACGAGACAACTTCCAAAGGCCGTTTCGCGAGCAAGAAAATCGCACGGTCTTCTCGATTCTGAGTTCTTTCTTCTTTTTCCGGCGGAGCTGGGGAGACGCTCTCCGCGCCGAGATAGGTCCGCAAGTGCTTTGTGCAAGTGCTCTGTGCAAGTTGCTCTGCGCAAGTTGCTCTACGCAAGTTGCTCTGAGCAAGTGCTGCCGGAGCTGTGGGAATGTACTTCGCGTACTATTTTTTTATACTTAAGAGTTGTGATTTTCCAGCCGGAGCTGCGGGAGTGTGCTCCGCGTACTACGTTTGTACTTAAAAGTTGCGATTTTCCAGCCGGAGCTGCGGGACTGTGCTCCGCGTACTATGTTTGTACTTAAAAGTTGCGATTTTCCAGCCGGAGCTGCGGGAGCACGCTCCGCGTACTACGTCTGTACTTAAAAGTGCGATTTTCCAGCCGGAGCTGCAGCAGCCTCCGCGTACTACGTCTGTACTTAAAAGTTGCGATTTTCCAGCCGGAGCTGCAGGAGCACGCTCCGCGTACTACGTTTGTACTTAAAAGCTGCGATTTTCAAGCCGGAGCTGCCGCGGACCAGGGGGGAATCGAACCCGGGACCGCGGGATTGCGAAAGCAGGCGCGCACACCACGAGACAACTTCGAAAAGCCGTTTCGCGAGCAAGAAAATCGCACGGCGCCACAGCGAGAGCGCTTCGACACGCACGATCTCCGCAGAGGGTTCATCGGGCTCAAGACAAATTCGCACGGCGCCACAGCGAGAGCGCTTCGACACGCTGAATCTCCGCAGAGGGTTCGCCAAGGTCAAGACAAATTCGCACGGCGCCACAGCGAGAGCGCTTCGACACGCACGATCTCCGCAGAGGGTTCGCCAAGGTCAAGACAAATTCGCACGGCGCCACAGCGAGAGCGCTTCGACACGCACGATCTCCGCAGAGGGTTCGCCAAGGTCAAGACAAATTCGCACGGCGCCACAGCGAGAGCGCTTCGACACGCACGATCTCCGCAGAGGGTTCGCCAAGGTCAAGACAAATTCGCACGGCGCCACAGCGAGAGCGCTTCGACACGCACGATCTCCGCAGAGGGTTCGCCAAGGTCAAGACAAATTCGCACGGCGCCACAGCGAGAGCGCTTCGACACGCACGATCTCCGCAGAGGGTTCGCCAAGGTCAAGACAAATTCGCACGGCGCCACAGCGAGAGCGCTTCGACACGCACGATCTCCGCAGAGGGTTCGCCGCGCTCAAGACAAATTCGCGCGGCGCCACAGCGAGAGCGCTTCGACACGCACGATCTCCGCAGAGGGGTGCGTTTCGTAAGCTCCCGTCGGGCCTACCCCCGCCATAAAAAGAAGAAGAATTAAGAGTCGAGATGTGAAGGTAGAACAGAAAAGTTAGCTTGTGTTTTTAGGATAGTGAAGTAACACCCGACAAATTAGCTTGTGCTTTTAGTAGAATGAGATAACAGCCGAAAAGTTGACATGAGAAGTTGGCAGGTGAAGTAACTCTCAAAAAGTTGACATGAGAAGTAGGCAGGTGAAGTAACTCTCGACAAGTTGGCATGAGAAGTTGGCAGGTGAAGTAACTCTCGACAAGTTGGCATGAGAAGTTGGCAGGTGAAGTAACTCTCGACAAGTTGGCATGAGAAGTTGGCAGGTGAAGTAACTCTCGACAAGTTGGCATGAGAAGTTGGCAGGTGAAGTAACTCTCGACAAGTTGGCATGAGAAGTTGGCAGGTGAAGTAACTCTCGACAAGTTGGCATGAGAAGTTGGCAGGTGAAGTTGGCAGCCGCTTTTAGAAGAAGAACCCTTCGCAATGCTTCCGGGAAAAATCATGTTGCAAGCAGCATGCAACAAGCTGCATGCAACATGCCACACAACAGGGCGAGCGACCAACGACCGTCAGCAAGCGCTGTGCAACGAGCAGCCAGCCTCAAATAATCAGCAACAGTTGGCCAGCAACACACACACACACACCAAAAAGCATGCTGACCAGCATTGATAAGCAATAACTAGCAAGCAGCAAAACAGCAATCTGCAACGCCAACGAAAGCAACATCCCACACTAGGGACCCTTACTTGACGCAGGACTTGCAAGAGATGGACTGGGCTGCCACTACCCTGGACTTTAGCCGGCGGAATTCCAGGGAAGTGGAGGCGGGCTGGCTCTCTGAGTCACTGTGAGACTGATGCTGACTCATATAGATTGCTCTTGCACCAAGCCAATCATCTCTCGAATATTGATTTCGGGAGTGCCGAGTAGCACAACGTCCTGCGCACCCCGCAACGCGCAAAGCATGGCTTAGCTGAAGGGAGCGATGTCACGGTGCAGGAGCAGCAGACCGAGGACTCAAACTTCCAGCTGATCTGGGACTGCCGCCGGTGGACGTCCTTTTGGCCGGATTACCGCAAGCGCCAGGGGCCCCAGTGAGGGTGTGGCGCCACTGGGGGCAGGTATGGGAGCTGCACCCGCCATGCCCCACGGTTGTTGCCACTCATTCTGCAACCCTACATGCTCAGGACATGTGTCAAGCGTTCTGCAAAGACAGAGGCTGGCACATTCGTTGGGCGTGGTAAAGTCCATGCAGCCATGCACCACGTACGGTTCCGGCCATTCTTCATCTTGATGTTGATTCATTTATGTAGTTAAGCCATGTAAATGTAGACACACGAATGTACACAATCGGACTATGTTTGCAAGAGAAAACAAGATACAGCTTTTGCCGCGGCGCTGCTGAAAGGGGGTGGCATGCCGGCATTGGCAAACATGAGCTTTTCTCGGCGTCTCAATTTCGGATTGGTACTTTGGAGTTATTTTGAGGTAGCCAAACGGCGCGCAATGTCTTGGGCACAAGCAGCTCTTTTCCGTTGAGCTGTTTGGAAGGTCACAGGTAGTCAACAGGTGCAGTCAAAAGTCGTTCAATTCTTGCCGTGCGAGCTTCAGGGAATGTTTGCTTTGCATGCGATGGCTATAGTAATTGAGTTGTGTGTTGTGTTTGCGGGAGGTTGCTTTGTCCCAGTGGGGGTTAGCCTCTGAACGAAGAGGTCGAATCTTGCTAGTCTGTTCATCAAGCGTTCTCGTTTCCAGACCATGAAATTGCAATCAATTGCCTTGGGTGCAAAAATGCTACGTGACTTGCCGCATGTGTTGCGCAAATTCGGAGGTTGTTTTTGCAGGGCATAGCCTTCAAAGGCGATGTTGATCAATTCAAATCGCAGGTTGGTTAGAGTAGAAATTGCAGTCTGTGGCCAGGTTTCCCCAAATCAGGAAGACCAGGATGCAGAAAACCAGGATACACAGTTTATCCTTCGTTGAGCATGGGCCTCTCTTAATTTGAATCCATGGCGTGCAGGAGCTCAGATGAGTGTGCGGGACATTGTCAGTTCTGGACACTTTGACGAGCACCAGTTCTCGCTGGATGAGCAGTATGAATCACAGAGTTTCGTCCCGCCTACCTATTGAAGCTGCCATCGAAAGGCATGCAGAAAATCGCGCAGTGCAAGCTGTGTGCGTCAGTTGATGATGCTGGCCCTAGACGCAGAGATGAGAGACCAATGCCCTGTTTCATAGATGGCCCCTTACCAGAAGACCTCTGCTGCCCCATGAAAAAGAAAAAGAACAATTCCAAAGCTCCAAGGGCTCAGCATGCCACAAAGATCAGACTTTTTTGCTCGAATATGCCGCGCGTTCAGAAAGTCAATGATTAGTTCAAAATCTATTGGCCAGGCAAGTAAGTATCAGACTTGGTGCGTCTGGCTTGTCACTTTTTATTATTCAGAATGTCAACGAGTTCTTCGGTGATCAGGGATTCCTGGTTCATGTGTCCAACTACTGGACGACCATTTGAGTGGATCGTCATGTCCTTCCCGCTGTTTAATTCCCTTACAATATGTGTCTGTGCGCAGATCACTGAGTATTTGTTCAAAAGACAAGGTGTGGTGGTCATGGCCAGTAAACAAACCTCCCAGCATCCGAACGCGTTTTTTGGGTCTAAACAGTCACATTGACAGCGATAGCTTGCTGATAGAATCATGCAAATACATCTGCGCATGTGAGATGGAGAATGTACTGGTAAGTCATTTCGCTTGAGTGCTCAAGCAATGCCGGCAACGCCACGATGAGCTCTTGAACGCTAATGCAAACTCAAGCCAGCTTTACTTTGAGTACCTTTTGTGGTAAGATAGAGGACCGCCATGACACGGGGCGCAGGTTATCTTGTGCTGAACTATGTACTTGTTGACAAGGGAGCGCAAAGAAAGCCCTCTGGGATAGTTGTAAGATGCAAGGTGCACGGGATGCGAGAGCAGCAGCTTGATGTGAGCTGATGGCTTCCTGGAAGCCATCAGGTCACAGGGTGTGCAACCAGCCAGGCGATGCAAGCGGTAGGCGGTCCCTTCAACGAAGGTGTGCTCGATGAGATCAAAAACTGGTGCTGGGACGGGGTTGGCCGAGGTTTTGACTTGGCACCACATTGCTGACAACAGCAAATCTATGTTCACACGCTGTCAGATGGCTTGGCTGCCAGCATGGAAACCCGGTCGATGGCTATGATGTCTTTGGTTTTGTTTGTTTGTTTGATTGTTTGCTTGTTTGCTTGTTTGTTTGTTTGTTTGTTTGTTTGTTTGTTTGTTTGTTTTATTTTGTGTGCTGCTTTGCTTATTCTGTCTGTTGCCTGCTTACTTGTGCTTTGTTTGCTTGTCTCCTTGTTGGTTTGCTTGCGTGTTTGTTTTTCGTTCTTCTTTTGCTTCTTCTTCTGGTGTTCTTCTTTTTGGAGGGGGGGTTCTTCGCTGTTTGTTTGGATAGTTGTTTTGTTTGTTTGCTAACTTGTTTGTCTGTCTGTCTGTCTGTCTGTCTGTCTGTCTGTCTGTCTGTCTGTCTGTCTGTCTGTCTGTTTATTTGCGTGTTTGTTTGGTTGGTTGGTTCGTTGGTTGGTTGATTTCTTTGATTCAGTGTCTGTTTTGTTGGTTTCGTTTTGCACACACGCACGCAAGCAAGCGGGTAAGCACGCTAGCAAGCAAACACGCACGCAATCACGCAAGCAAGCAAGCAAGCAACAAGCAAAGCAGCCAAGCAAAGCAAGCAAGCCACAACAATCAAGCAATCAAAAACAAACAAGCAAGCGAGCAAGCAAACCAACAAGCAAGCAAACAGACGAACAGATAAACGGACAAGCAGACAAGCAAACAATATGTTGGTTGATGTTTGTTTGTTTGTTTGTTTGTTTGTTTGTTTGTTTGTTTGGGTTTGTTTTTTGTATATACCTTTGTGTTATTGTGTTGCTGTTGTGGTGTGTTGTTTGGTTGTTCGTGCGTTTGTTTGTTGATTTGTTCATTTGCTTGCTTGTCTGCTTGCTTGCTTGCTTGCTTGCTTGCTTGCTTGCTTGCTTGCTTGCTTGCTTGCTTGCTAGCTAGCCAGCCAGCCAGCTAGCTAGCTAGCTAGCTACAACACCTTGTTGTATTGTTTGTTGTCCTCCCGGTGGCCGACCTACGTTTGTCTGTGTCTGTGTGTGTGTGTCTGTGTGAGTGTCTGTGTGTGTGTGTCTGCTTGTGTCTGCGTGTGTCTGTGTGTGTCTATGTGTGTCTGTGTGTGTGTGTCTGTGTGTGTGTGTCTGTGTGTGTCTGTGTGTGTCTGTGTGTGTGTCTGTGTGTGTGTGTGTCTGTGTGTGTGTGTCTGTGTCTGTGTCTCTGTGTGTGTCTGCGTGTGTCTGCGTGTGTCTGTGTGTGTGTGTCTGTGTGTGTCTATGTGTGTCTGTGTGTGTGTCTGTGTGTGTCTGTGTGTGTCTGTGTGTGTGTGTGTCTGTGTGTGTCTGTGTGTGTCTGTGTGTGTCTGTGTGTGTGTGTCTGTGTGTGTCTGTGTGTGTGTGTGTGTGTGTGTCTGTGTGTGTCTGTGTGTCTGTGTGTGTCTGTGTGTGTCTGTGTGTGTCTGTGTGTGTCTGTGTGTGTCTGTGTGTGTCTGTGTGTGTCTGTGTGTGTGTGCGTGTTTTGTCATGGCGCATTTCTTTTACCGTTTTGTCTGTACAGGATTCATGCTGTGTATGTTGTGGCACCCAAACTGATAGGCTCACCAGCGTTGGCGAGAATTACACAAGGGGCTGCCAGGATTTGTGGCACCACAATGAATGCACCACTCTACAACAGCTCAGTGAGGCAAGGAGACAAGCAAAAGCGGACAAACCCTGAGTAACAGCCTGAGAGAATCTGTGAAGTTCACCAAAAATGCTGGCCACGCCAACGGTATGATGGCGTTCACGCACCTACGTAATAAAAGCATTGCGGCAACCTTTCTCCTATGGCAACGCAGCGCCCAGGGAGACTCAACCTGCTGGCAATTGCTTTGGCAGCCCTTGCTAGTGCGCAGCTCATACGAGTCTTCATCGCGCCAGCGCCGCCTGGCGTCAGGCATTTCACACATTATGGACGGACAGCGAATAATTGCGGCAACAAGGTCAAAGCTTAGAATGGTGAGGTTTGCTGAAGTCAATTAGGCTTCCGCAGATTATGCTAGTTCTGTTTGAGCGTGTTGATTGGTTTCGGACAGAGATCAACATTCCTGGCTGCAATGCTGCCTTCGGCAGCGTTACGAGGCTGCCCCAGGCACATCGACCAGCGAGACAGAAGGGCAGCCACTCGGCAATGGGTGCAGGTTGCACCAGCACGCACGCGCGTGTTTGCCGCCTTGATGCCCGAAATTGTGGCGTGATTTGTCTTTCTGTCGCTCAGCATGGGATCTGAAAGAAGCCGCTGTGAAGGTCTTCCATTGCTCTGATGGATCTTCTTGCCTGGGCATCATTGGAGTTGGGTTCAGCCATGTGGCGTGCGTCCAGACCCCTTTTTTATTTGCCTGATCGTAGTTGTCCCCATGTTGTCCCCCACCACACTCAACCTCTTTTCAATGCAACTGTTGTGCTACATTGGGTGTGAACCGTTCGGAGCGCTACCAAATGGTTTGTTGTCTTCTGGCTTCGAACGCTGCGCTTGTGTTGTCCAGTTCGGCCCTCATGAGGGACGCTGACGTGCCGAGGTGCCCTGTCTCTGGAGGCAGTGCGGGCGGACCTGAGGGACGAGTGGATAGACATCCAGGGCGCCCTGGCCGCTTTGTCCAGGGCCGATTGCTGGACTCACTCAGCCGTTGAGATTGTTTTATGTACTCAAGCATACTGGACCCGGCAAAGCCTCGACCTGCGGAAAGTTCGAAGGGTGGACGTGTGTACTAGTATGAGATTACATGTGGTGTCGGAGTAAACTCGTGTGTGCTAGCAGAGTGAGTTGAGCAACGACATTATCGTCGCCATTGTTTGCCGACATGTCATTTCCAGACAACAAACAAGTCAGAAGGAGCTAATTACTGAACGTGTACTGCAAGACTGGTTGCCCACCATCACCGCAAGCAATAGAGTCTGCCAGTTCAAGTGTTCTTCAAGTCAGCTTTCTTCCTATGAATGGTTGCCCCCAGGCTCGACCTGAGTTACTGTAAAGGGAACCAGTGATGTCACGGGCTTTGATTTAACAGCGCCACTCCACTTGGACTGTCGCTGGTTGGCGACTCAGTCGTGTGTCACGTGATTTTGGGACCTTTTGGCGGTCGAGATCGTTCAGCCAGCGCCCTCCGGGCTGACACGCCGCGCGGGGTCCCGCGCGGGAGGGTGGGAGTGGAACGTGAGGCGCGAAAGCCTCCTTCGGCGCCACCACGCCCTTCACGGTGGCCCTTGCGGGGCCCTTGGACCTGGCGGAGGATTGGCTCTTCGGAGGCGCGCAGGCGGCTCGGCCGGAGTGGATGTGGCGCATTTTGGGGTTTTGCCGGGTGACTCATTGCGGGCAAGGAAGCGGAGGGGAGAAGCGGCGGAGGTGAATGCGTGCATCGGCATGTCACCACGGCAGGCACATGTAAGGGCGTTGGCCGGTATGTGGGGGGACCAGGTCAAGCTTGTTTGCCAAATGCCCCTGAGATGCTTCCCCTTTTTCAGGCACGTGAGCCTTGACATCCTTTCCGATCCTTGCTGAGGACGACAGCGTCGATCGCTTGGTGCAAGCTGGCAAGCCAGCCTTCTCAAAGATCGAGCGCGTCAAGGAGCTCCACGAGCCAAGATCAGTGCTCATCTGCCCAAATGCCGGAAGTTCTCATGGAGCAACACATCCAAAGCAGCAAAAGTATTTTGTTTGCTTCATCCGCATCTTGCTCTGAGTTCTCAGCAAACGCCGCGTGTGGTGTTTGTGGTCAGGAGCTGGAGATCTCTGGATCCGGCAAGCAGGTGTACAAGTTCTCCTTGCCGGATTTGGATCTGATGGGGTGGCCTGCATCAAACATATCCGGCTGGTGTGTTCTTTCGAAGCACACATCCAGATTCGTTGATTCTATCCTGAGTCTATTCAGTGCCATGAGTCATTTTCTAGCCCATTGTGGTTGGTGGGAAGTACATTGTGTTTTAAAAGCACAACAGTATGCAAGCAACCAAATTGGCAGCCCGAGTTTCCTGGTGCCAAAAATGGCTCGAGAATGTGCACCTGCACCACCAAGAGGTTGCTGTTTGCCACTTACTTCACTCAGCAGAGGAGGCAAGCCCGGGTCCGGGACCAAAAAGTGTCCAAGCTGTTTCAGATCAGAATGACTCCTTCCAGGCTTCTTTCAGATCAGAATGACTCCTTCCAGGCTTCTTGCAGGAAGCACCGTCACGCATGACAATGATCCTGCAAGGTCTGAAACTAACAGGATCTGTTGCTTCTAAGTTGAACCATGGGAGACTTTGCGGGGCGCTTCCAATTATATATATATATATATGTTTCCTAAGGCCATGGCTAGAATCCCACGGGCTGTTAAATGCTATGCTGGCTATCAGTTTGCAAAGGTTGGGGAAGGCGACGTCTTCCATCAATCTCTTCGGCGCCATCCGGGAGGATGCGCGGGGCAAGCTGCTTGGGTGCGACCGGGGCACCAGTCGCCAGGGCGACCGCACCCGGGGAGGGGGAAAGGGCGCCGGGGAACGTCTTTGAAGGGGCCATGATGGCGAGCTCAGCGAAATTCATTGAACCACTTCTCTAGGTTTAGATCTAGTTCAAAGCTAGTGAGCTGACAATTATGCACGTGTTATGCTGTGAGAATCTGAGAAGCCAAATTTGTCGAAACCAAGGGCGGCCCTTATCCTGCCAAGAAAAGTGGCTCTTGGCGGACAGCTCCGGGGCAAACCTTCGGCAAGGACTTGGTCAGTCTTCAGTTCTGTGGGAAACAAACCCCAAGAGTGCCCCCCCCAAAATCCAATCTCCATGCATTGCCCCAGGCGGGGTTTATGCCAATTGCACGAAAACAAGGTCTCCCAGTAGTGCCCTTTTACCAACTTTTTTGGGGGAGGGTTCCCCCACTAAAATGCTCTCCGCTGGAGGACCTAGTTAAAACAAAAAGCGCTCTTTCGCTGCTCGGTTTCGGGTCGGGGGGGGGGGGGGCTGGCCGCTGGCAGCCGAGGTTCCTGGAGATCGGCACCTTTGGGAACCCCAAGGCCAAGATCGGCTTCGCCACGGGCCTGGCGCCGGGCTCAGGGGCTCGGGCAAGCTGAGCCGGAAGCTGTATGGTTTTGTCTCAAAATGGGGGGAAGCCCTTCAAGATGCTTGGGTTTTGCTTTGGGTTTCCCTTCATCCAAGCCAAGAAAGGGTTCCCTCAAACAAAGACACAGTGCGTTGGCTCTACTGTTGGGCACTGAGGACATCGATCTGCCGGTGTTCTCGCTGAACGTGACCGGCGAGCTGCGCATTGCACAGGATGGGCGCTCAGAGAGGCAGCGGGGGCCCAAGCGCTCGGCTCAAGCGAGGCGTCGTCGGCGTCGCTCAGTGACACCCAGGGCTGGTGTCCAACCGGTTCAACTTGTCGGATGGTTTGGGAGCATGACTTTTTTGCTGGAGAAAAGGAAGATATGTCCAAAAGGTGAGCTTCGCAGCAAGCTCGCCGCAAGCAGATCCTGGTTGAATCATATATATATAGTGTGTCTTGCAAATTGACAAAGCTCAGAACTTATGTACTTGATTTGGCTAGTCGAATCTTTCGGTATGAACTACAGCATGTCTTGCCTCTCTCAAACTACTGTGCTTGGCCATTTTTCCGGGTCTTGATTGGCCATACTGAACATATCTGGGTCGTTTGGCACAGATTCAACCGCATCGTTACTCAATGTAACACAGTTCAGTTGCTGGATTCACATCGGCCCAGACATAGGTAGATGTGCATTTGGCAATGTTGCAAGACCTTGCTTGCTGCATCCCATTCGCCGCTGAACACCCCTGAGTGCAAACAGCGGCTAGGCGGTTCGGCAAAGTCTCCGCGTTGCGACTGTCCTGTTGCTCGAAGGCTGCCCTACACGAGGTGGAGTGATTTCCATGTTTGGGTGAGAACCTCACTAGAGACTGGGAACAATTTCCTGGCCAGGAAGTCTTTCCCGTGACCCCTTTCCCGTGACCCACGCAATGGTGAGTTAGTAATTCTTTGCGAATGTCTCCACCGAGTTCGCGACTCCGGGTCCCTCCGAGCGAATGCATGCGCGAGGTCGCTGGCGGTGGGCTCGGTGTCCATCGCCGTGAAGGGCGAGGTCCCCAGCCTCGCCGGGGTGACGCTGCCGGAGCAGGCGGTCAGTGATCAGTGACCCAAACGGAGTGCCCCAAACGGACGCTAAAAACTGGTCAGTTGCTACTGGTATAAGCAATGTGGTGTTGGCAAGAAGGGGCCCGTGCGTCATCATCATCAGCATCATTGTTTGTATAATTGATCTGATTGCTCAAGCGGCTTGCCAAGGGGGCCCTGCCAAATTTGACTTCTACCCAGACAGTTGGAATAACCACGGTGAAAACCTCAGGCAAGGGGCAGTTCACGAGAAGTTGAGGCTTTGGCAGTATGCATGGCACGATTGTTTGTGTGTGCTTGTATGTGAGTCTCTTTGCTGCTGTGTCCCTGCGTATCTCCCTGTGTCTCTGACGTGCCTCATTTTGTCTCTAGGTGTTTTGTTCAGTTTGTGCATGACAGACTACCTCTCCTGACTCAGTTGGGTCGAGTTGGCTGCCTACAGGCTTGGCAGGAAGAACATGATGGTGCCCATGCACAAACATGCACATTTACACACAAAGACACCGCCGGATACATATACTCATACACCCACACACAAACACACATGGAGTCAATGCACACACACACACTCACACAGACACACAGACACACAGACACACAGACACACAGACACACAGACACACAGACACACAGACACACAGACACACAGACACACAGACACACAGACACACAGACACACAGACACACAGACACACAGACACACAGACACACAGACACACAGACACACAGACACACAGACACACAGACACACAGACACACAGACACACAGACACACAGACACACAGACACACAGACACACAGACACACAGACACACAGACACACAGACACACAGACACACAGGCACACAGGCACACAGGCACACAGGCACACAGGCACACAGACACGCAGACACACAGACACACAGACACACAGACACACAGATATACACACACACACAGACACACACCACACACGTGCAGCATTACATCAACATTGTAATGGCACTGTGCTCGGGTTGCAGCCCTAACATGCTCTGCCATGCGGTGTGGCTTTGGTTTCCCATTTCCTGGTTTAGGGTGCTTGCGTTTGTGTGCATCCCGTTGCATCTCATTCCGTTCGGCGGCCAAGCTTCAAGTTGTCTTCCACGCTCTTTGAGGCAACATTCGTAACACACCCAAGGTTGAAGAGGCAAGGGAGGCAGGAAGCGTGGTGTGGATGTGGTGTTGGAACCAGGTCCTTTGGTGGATATATTGGACAGCATTGGAAAGCGTCCTCAGGGCCATTTCACTTCCTTGACCAGGTTCAGGGGGCCTCAGATTTCAGCCATCAAAGCCGAACTCGAGCTGACTTTAAGACTTGAGCTTAACCAGATGATGCCCAAGAGCATGTCGCAGTTGACTTAAAGCTTGCCGCTTGCCTCGAGGCAAGTCACGGCTTTCTGTACGTCAGGGTAGACCGGTTGACTTTGCCAGGTCCTGAAGGCTGCAGCACAGGAGGCGAACCGCCAGACCTGCGCCTATGCTTCCCGAAAGCTGGAGCTGGAGCCTTGTCCGTTCAGAGATGGAGCTGAACATGGCCGTGGGGCTTACCGTTTCTAGCAAGAGGTCGGAGGGAAACGGAGGAGTTGCTGCGCACAGCAGTCCAATTGGGGATATCATTACATCAAAGTCGCTGGCCATTTAAGAGGAGGAGCCCCAAAGATCGCGATATACAGCCGCAGCGTGCAACACTTGGGAATCAACTCCACCTGACGACTGCAATGCGTAGCAGCCGAGCCCATTTTGTGAACACTAGCATGACAAAGGCAAGGTATGTGCAAACATGTCTATCTCTACGCTCATCATGATACGTAAGTATACACCTATGTACATGAGCATAGTTGTGCAAGAGTTCATGGCTGTTTTCCTAGCGACCAGACATGTGGTCTTGGAACGTCAGCTTCTCACGGCATTCTATCTACATGTGCATGTTGTTGGTTTTTGTCAAATTCGCGAAGTGACACAGAACGTGTTGAAGCAACAGCGCCGTCTTGCTTGGCTGCTCCATTCATCGCTCGTGCTGTTACTTGAACTTGCACACTAGTCTTGAAGCCATGCATAGACTCCACAAGTTGGAGTTTCGTTCTGGAGAACTCCGTTGCGAGGTCACGATAGTGACTAGGGTCGGGATTCCTGCCCTTACAACACCTTCCTTGTTTGGACCATTCGAGCACTCAATTTCATCTGCCATTCGCATCCGAAGTGGTCAATTGTCACTTGGCTCTGGGTCAACCATAGGTACCCAAACTGGAACTCTGGAAAATGGAAGCATGGACTAAAATCTGCGGTCCTCTGGTTTAATTTTGACCCATCCCCACTTCTGCCCAAGAGCTGGTTGACTTGGACTGTTGGGCTGTCCTCTGCCCATGGCCCAGGAGCTGTCGCAGGATTTCGCGGCCTGGCGCGGCCAGAAAGTGCGAATGGAGCGCCGCTGAGCCGGTTTCCTGCTTGAGATTTCCAAGAAGGAAAGGTACAGCTGAGCCTCGGGGTACTTGAACGGGTGCCAGGAAGCCTCAAGGATGTCACAAATAAGCAGCATTTTGTCTCATTCCAAGCACCGGTCCAAGAATCTCTTGCTTTTGACATGTCGCAGTTCCCATTGAGCTTGAGCCCGTGGTGAGGCAAAGGCTCGCCTCGTTTAACTCTTTACCTTGCGAGGCCGTTGGGTCGCGTCCACGTGCCACTGGCGTTGGTTCTTGGCCGAATTGGCAGGCAGCTGTGGCCCTGATGTCGACCCTGGCCTGTCAAGGGCAATAGACTTCTGGCGGGTGGAGATCAAAGTTGCGGCATAGCGCTTGGGGACGTTCGGGAGTGTTCGCGTGGTTGGGTCGAGATTCTGCCAGAAACAACTTGGTGCAGAAGCTACAGCCGTACCATGCCCCTTCAATATTTGAACCTTGCAATGCTATGGAGCGCAGCCAAGTGTGATCCAGTGGCCAGCCTTCTTTCTGCAATGGACATGTCTAGTCCAGGCCTAGCCAAACATCAGAAGGTTGAGCATATTAGCCAACAGTACCAATAGTAGACACAAGTATGCATGTCAATTGAATTCAAAAGCCTTAATGATGTTCATATGTCGTCAGGACCGCATTTCTTGTGCCTCCACATTTGGAGTTTGCCACTGGTGCATCACGAAGCTGACTAATAATAATATGTTAAATATGAGAGCAGGTACGAAAGCGGGACACTGGTTGTTGTTGTCCTTGCCTTGCACGACCGTGAGGCCTCGTCTGATGATTGTTGTTTGGTTCCAGGAGCTGGCTTTGTTGGCAGCCTGAAGCAAAGCTTAATGCAAAGCTTGGACTGTTCAAATTACATGCCCATGCTGTTTGTTGGATTCACATGACAACTGTGCAATGATCATGTTGGAAGGCACACTGATAGCCGGGCATCTTTCATATGCATGCTGCCGCTCAAAGCTCTGACAGCCTCCGGAAGAACGCACGCGCAACCGCATGTGGCTCAGTTGAGGGAAGTGGCAGGAAACAGCTCGCCCAACACTATTTAGCCACTCAGGCAATGGCGCGTATGTTGGAGCCCGTGAAACTCCCGCATCGAGCAAGTTGGAAGCTGGTTTCGCTCAAGTTCGCGAGCTGGATTCGGAAAGGTGCGCTTCCCGAAGTTGGACCCAAAACAATAGGGTCATTGCAAGAGCACCTAGCCAGCACAAGGGCGGCCACACACACACACACACTGACAACAGCTGAGCAAACGCACCCACACCCAAGCCAACCTCCAGCTTTGCCCACAGGGTCTCTCACAGTTGCCATGTTTCAATCATGCACTTTGTCTTGAGCTTTGTTGCCAGTCGCATGAACGACCAGCATGGTATCACACTTGTTGTGTTCAGATGTAGCGGGAACCCGGTCGGCCGAGGTCTAGTTGTCAATTGGCATTCGGGCCGCGCATTTGCGCGCGCTATGGTATCAAGGATGAAGGGCTTCGCGGCATTATCTGTAGTCATTGCGGTGCTGATGGGAGCCTTGGCATTTGGGAGCTTCGGGATGTGAACCTCGACATCCAACAACTAAGTATTGACATTATCTTCACTTGCTTCTGCCTCAAGCAAAGGCATCACTGTGTGGTCGGTGCTTTTTGCTGGGCATAGTGCTTCTTGCCAAATTGAAAGTTTGACCGAACTAGTACAGTAAACATTGAGCATGTGTGTCTTTGCCAAATAGATCTGTCAAGGAGCACTGTACGTCTACGAAAACCTCATCTACTTGAGAGTGCTGCATAGCCTTTCACCAAACCTCGCCGCAGTGGCTGCCTTGCAGACTGAGAATGCCTTTTACTACTCCTACTTCCAGGACTCACCTGTGACGCTTTTGTCCGGGGCTCCTTTGACCTCTCTTTCGGTTGAGTCCAACCGGGTTCTTGGAGAAGAAAAAGAAAACGTCGAAGAGGTGGAGCCGTTTTTTGGTGAGAGGAGTTGGTGGACTCAGAGAGCCTTCTGGAAGGCTTCCAGCGCATCATCTGGGACCGCAGGACGGAGTACCCGGAGGTGCTCAATGCCATCCGCAGGTTCAACATCTACCAGGAGAACTGAGAAGAACCCAACTCCTACTCTGGAAAATTGAAGGTTGCCTGGGTTTTGCCTCCTGGAGCTTTTGGTGTCGGAGCACTCTGTTGACCGTTTTGGAAACGCTTTCAGCGTTTGGGCTGAGAGGGGAGCGGGATTTCGCAGGAGATCCTGCTGGCTGTGGAGTACCGCCTGCTGGGCCTTTTGGGCCTTGGCTTTGCTTTGCCGCACCCCTTTGACTTCTTCAGGTGGGGAGGAGAAAAAGATGCGAGACGAGTGACGGTGGACCAAAGCCCTAATTCTACCCACCCACACTCAATGCACACAAAGGCATTGGGGGCGCTTTCCGACCCAGAAGCATCCAAACCGTGCTTTTGGTGGCTTCGCAGCATTCGGACAACGCACATGGGGCCCTTTGAGTTTCTGTATCCCAGTTTACACAATCCCAATGGCGGGGCTTATGCAGCTGCAGCTTGTTTTTTGCGCCTGAGAGGCTGCACATCGTGGTGCTGAATGGAGTTGGTCAAGGCTTCCTTTGCCTACTGGCCTCGGAAATCTCTGGCAACCCCTTCGCAGGCCTGTTGTGCTTCCTAGTGTCCTTCTTGAAGCTCGGCGCGCTTCAGGGGTTGATGGCTAATTAGAGGGACCAGCCCAACAAGGTATTTCAGGGGATGTTTGAAATTCATAAGCAGGGTTGAGAAGGTCCAGCACCCAAGCAAATCAATCAAGTACAAGCAAAGAAGAAAATGTTTGTTTGAGTGCTATGTCTTTGCTGCACTTCGCATGATTGACCTGTCCAGCTCATCATCTCCTCTGTTTGGTTCTTGCGGAACGGCTCATAGATGATTTCGGAAAGGCAGGAGCACCACTATTGCACTGAACACAGGTGTCATGTGACGGGACACTCCTTTGTGGGAGCACACGGGCCCTACTCAGAAACCAGCATGCCAGTTGGGACTCATCAACTTTGCACGGTCCAATGTTCAGGTCTCAATTTCAAGATAACTTCCAAGCCCAAGTTTTGGCTCTCCCTTCGGCCTGTGGTGCCAGAGGAACCGGTTCCAGACCTCGCGGCTGGGCAACTACACCAGCTCTGACCTGCGGGAGCTCTGGGGCATCCCCCTGCTTTGGGTTCAGAGCTACTTGGTGTGGCGAGTGCTGCTGGCGCCTCGGGCAGAAAAGACGAGTCGTCCGTGTCCGGCGGGACCTGGGGCGGCAAAATGAGGTGCCGAGATGGCCGTAGATGCCAACAGGTTGAGTAGCGTTTGTTTTGCTCCTCCACTACATATGTAAAGGTACGGACATTATTCTGTGATATTCTTGGAAATGCGCCACAGTCGCGAAAGCCCGCGGAAGCTTTGCGGATTTTGTTTTTCCGTGGAAGCTGGCGGAAGGGTTTACGGAGTATGTTTGTTTGTGCTGGTAGTGCAGCTATTGGAACAAGCAAATGACAAAGGAGCCAACGATGACGCAGATTTGCTTTGAGTGGATTGTGTGCCTATTCGGGTTGCAAACTAGGGCCTAATGTAAGCACTTGATTAATAAAGGTCCCCCTCCCCCTGAACAATGGAGGCGCCAAAACAATGGGGGCGCACTTTTGGGACGTCCAAACAACGGAGGATTTTGGGGCCCAATTCTACTTTAGTATTGCAGCCACTTCCTTTTTGCAATTCTACTTTAGTATTGCAGCCACTTCCTTTTTGCAATTCTACTTTAGTATGTATTGCGGCCACTTCCTTTTTGCAATTCTACTTTAGTATTGCAGCCACTCCCTTTTTGCAATTCTACTTTAGTATTGCAACCACTTCTTCCTGAGCAGACTTTTGGGAATGCTACTTTAGTATTGCAACCACTTCTTCCTGAGCAGACTTTTTGGAGTACGACTTTGGTATTGCAACCACTTCTTCCTGAGCAGACTTTTTGGAATACTACTTTAGTATTGCAACCACTTCTTCCTGAGCAGACTTTTTGGAATACTACTTTAGTATTGCAACCACTTCTTCCTGAGCATACTTTTTGGAATACTACTTTAGTATTGCAACCAATTGAAAGGGGAATGCTTTTAAGCAAGTGGGCCACCAATTGAAAGGGGATGCTTTTAAGCAAGTGGGCCACCAATTGAAAGGGGATGCTTTTAAGCAAGTGGGCCACCAATTGAAAGGGGAATGCTTTTGAGTAAAGCAACTGATAGTTTATTTTCTGGGAGGGGGGGCTGGGGGCTTGCCACTATTGTGGTCCCCTAAAACAATGACATTATTGGGGTTCAGTGGGGTCTGTGAGGGGTACCCTTGTCCTGATTGTTTTTTTGCATTTTTTAACACGGTTTAATAAAGAGTTTGCAGTTTCAGGGCTGGGGATGGTTTTCAAATTTCTGAGGTTTCAGCTGGCTTTGGGTTCTGTGGTTGAGCAACCAATTGAAAGGGGAATGCTTTTAAACAAGTGGGCCACCAATTGAAAGGGGATGCTTTTAAGCAAGTGGGCCACCAACTGAAAGTGGAATGCTTTTGAGTAAAGCAACTGATAGTTTATTTTCTGGGAGGGGGGATGGTTTTTTATATTAAATTTGATTTGTGGAGTTTCTTTTTGGAATTTTCCCCCCGGCCAAAAAAACTTTCCATTATTCTGGTCCCCTTAAACAATGGGTGCGAACCAGAATAAGGAAAAACTTTCTATTATTCAAGCCCACTTGAGGAATCAAGTGCCAACATTACTTAGAAGCGTGATGCAAGGTGAGGCTTCCCAAGGAGTTCTAGGAAGTGTCCTTCTTACACTCAGCTTTGAGTTCAGCCTGCGCATGTGCGTGCGCACCACTCATGTGGGCATTGGCAGGGTATGTTGAGAGACCGTCTCTGAACATTAGGCTTTTCTGAACCAGCCACGGCAGCATGGCAATGAGTGGTTTCCAGAAGAAGCGAAGGGCACATGCAACATCTCCCACCAGCTTTCCTATTCCTCCTGAGTCCCAATTCAGCCCTGGCTCGGACGTGGCAGGAGGACTTTTGATGCCTTGTCCTTTTGGCAACAGCTGAAAGGCAAGCATACTTTCACCAAATAGCCGTGCTCTGCGTGGATGGTCTTCTCACAGTTAGCACAAGGAAGGGGAGGTTTGGGCAAGGGAGCAGGGAGTTTTGGGTTGAGGCATCCCACCAGCCGTCTCAAAGAAGACGTTGGCTGTTGCTGGGCCTCATGCTGGTTACTATAGCCTTCATCGTCTCCTGGCAGTTCAGCCCCTTCCTTCTGCTTCTGCAGGCGCCCGCTACCGCTTCCAGATATCAGATAAGGGTGTTTGTTTGCTTGCGATTGGAGGGTGGCCGGACGCATTGGCTTGTGGTTTGTGGGGTCGCCAGGATTATGAACTCGAGTTTTTCCATTTTGTGGGGGCCAACATCCTGCACTTGGTGCAGAGTGCGTGGCTCATCAGCGATCAACACGTTTGTTTTTTGGACCATACTATACTTGCGTGATTGTATTTTCGTGGTGTGTTTGTTGTTTCCTGGCAGGCGACGGCGCTATACTCCATCAACATTGTAGCGGGTTTTGATAGTCTTCGGCCTGTGTTGGTGGAAATTCTGAACGTGTACGTTGTATCCATGGCGGTGGCAGTGGTGCTGCACTTTGGCAGCCCCTACCTCCTTACCTCCCCCTTCTTCTTCCAGCTGGTGGCTTTGAAGGCGCGCGGAGGTAGGGGAGGTGGCACGCCAAACTTGAAGCGTTTTTTCCAGCGACGTCTTCCGAGCCAGGTGTCCACTTCTCTATGCTTCTGCCACCGGCCTGCTCTGTACACCTGGCGCTCCTGGTTCTTGCGCCGTGCCAGCCATGTGGCAGAGGGTCTGGTGGCGGTGGTTAGCTTTCTGCTGGTGCGCCAGGCGCGGGCTAAGGTTCAACTGCGTTTGTAAATGTCGCTACGCGCAAGAGTGAAATGCACATAATATGTCAGCACTGGAAGTAGAGGTTTTGATGGCAATAGAGGTTTGGTGGCAATGTTGACCAAAAAGTCATGGTGGTTCACAGTGTGGTGAGTGGCTCAGAAGTTCAATGCGAGTCATGACGAACTACTGTTCAAAAAAACAAACTCTGGCAGTGAATCAAGTATCAAGGAGCTTGGTCAGCTCAGTTGATGTGAGGACAGCAAACCAGCTTTGCGTTGTGTACCAAGAATTGAGCGTGTCAACGCATGCACGCACCCACGCGGGCACACACACACACCACACCATACGCACACAGACACAGAGACACGCAGACACACGCAGAGACACGTAGAGGCACGGAGACACAGACACACACAGACACACACACACACAGACACACACACACACAGGCGCACACACACACAGACACACACGCAGACACACACACACACACACAGACGCAGACAGGCACACAGACACACAGGCGCACAGACACACAGACACACCGACAGAGACACCCAAACATGCACGTACGCACGCGCAGGCAGGCAGGCAGGCAGGCAGGCAGGCACGCACGCACGAACGCAGGCACGCACGCAGACAGAGACACAGACGCACGGAGACACAGAGACACAGAGACACACAGGCATACAGACACACAGACACACACACACACACAAGCACCCACTGTGTATTGTTTTATTCTCAATCTTCCGTGCATGTACAACGCCAACCAGCCCAACCGAAGCATCGTGGATTGCAGTTTTGCTCTCATGTCATTTTACATGTGAGCTGACCAACAACCTGAAGTAGAGAGATTTGCTGTGTAAAATCATGTGCGCTATGTAAAGTGCATGCCAAATTGCCAATAGCACGACAGGTGTTGGCGCCCTTTGCCACTGCGGACACCCACGTCTATGAGATCCTTTGCACCAAGGTGTGGAAGCCAAGTTCAGAAGAGATGTACTCTGCTGCAAAGTAATATGGACCCAAAACGGGGTCCGATTCCCAAAAAGAGATGGCTCTAAAACTGATCTTGTTTGGTGTTCCATGTTAATCTGCAGGGGAGTATGGATTGTTTGCCGCTCTTATTCGAAATGATCTACTGGCGTGAGGCCAATCTGCAAACGGTTGTACAAGGTACAGCGCCGGTTCGGTTTGTCGATTGATCTGGTTTATGCCAAAGCCAACCGGACGCACAGCTTTGGCGGTTTGCGAGTTTTACCCCATGGCAACGAAGCTGCAACCTTTTTGACGTAAGCAGTGTCCAGTTGCACTTGCCGCGCTGTGACAAAGCACTGCCAGCATGCCCATTTTAGACTAATTCTGGGAATGATCACTGACCGGCATGCTTGTTGCTGTTTGCAAGACAGATGGCATGCACACCAAGAGAGACAGGCATGAACCCATGCATGTCACAATCAACACAAGCTAAGCTTGAATTGCTGGAATGAGAATTACTTGGAGTGGTGAGCATGCGTTGTTTTGACGATGCAACCCAGGGAGCATCTCCATGAACAGTGAAAGGTCGCCTTTTGGCTGGCTATGCACTTGAACTCGTGTTTCGGGTGCCGTTTTACAGCCCTGAGCATCTCTAGAAAACACGTTATGCTGAGTTATGCTTCACAAGCTCAACTCCCTCAAGATCACTGGTTGAAGCAAGCCCTTGGGAGTCAGGTCTCGGCAGTGAACGACATGCTTCCGGCCCAGTTTCAGCTGCCACAGAACAAGCTGCCCGCCTGTGCAGAGCCGAGCTTCAACGCCAACCTCTATCTCATTATGGGCGTCTTCAAGCTGCTGGAATCTTTGCTCAGTTGGCGTTCGCTTGTTGTGGTTCTACTGGCTTCCCAAGTTTGGCTGACATGAAATATGTGCCCACAAGGTTGAGCTCTTGTGTCCAGGTCCTTCGGGCAAGCTACGTTTTCGCGCGCGAGTGCGGACCACCAAAGCAGCATCTCTAGCCGTTTAGCAGGCTCAGCTGCAAAACAACTTTTAGCACAAGTCCCCTGCAAGTCCCTCGCAGCCTCCAGATGCCCAGGTGCTTCCAAGTTCAATCTTCTGACATTCGGAGCATGACTCTTTGCTGATTTGCGATTCGGTTTTGATGCGATTGTTATCTCGCGGTGGTTCCTGGCCTTGCAAAACACAGCTGCAAACGTGAAAGCCTCAGGCGATTCCCTGGGCTTGAGGTAATATCGTTAAAGACCGCTTGCTCCATACACATTTGTTCCACAAAGAGACCCGAGTCTGCTTGCGGGGTCAGCTTGTCCGGTTGGCAGCTGTAGGGTCAACACCAATGGTACCAGTTTGGTGTGGGTGCACCACCCATTTTAGAATATTTTAGCGGTTGGATTGGGATGTTCACTGGGGGTACCATTTGGCTTTTGACCCATGGCCAAATGGCACAGGAGTGGTCCTCTTTGCAAGTCTACCTCCAGTCCACCGCCGCGCCTGCCGCTGCGGCCAGCTGCCTGCTGGTGCTGCTCAGGGCGCTGGGGAATTGGATGGCGGTGCAGGCAGCGAAGAGGCAAAAGGCCAAGAAGGCGCGCTCGAGTGATACGCGCTTCAAGGAAAGGCATGCGGATTTGTCCCAAAGGTTTGGTGGAGTTTGGCATTACATTGGGATCTTGGGTTCCAAAAGCAAATCCAGGGCATCAGCTCAAGAACAAGCGGCTTCGGCAAAGTTCCCTCAGAAGCCAAAACGCAAGAGGCAACGGTGCTTGTGCGGCACTTCCTCAATGTGCGTTGGTTTGCAAGTCAAACCAATGGAACCTATGTTTAAGAAGACCCCCTCCCACTGAACGTATAGAATCGGCCGTAGTGCATTTTGCCCTTTGCGTTGGGAGTCTACTAAGACAAGCAAGGATTCAACGGATGATTTCGGGTCCAAATGGTCTCAGCCACCCTAAATTCCCTGGAGCTGCCATTTCCACTTTGGGCATCGCCTTTGGCCGAAAAGCCGAGAATCAGGGGAAGAACGCGAAGGAAGAGAAGTTGGATTTCAGGGAAGAGGAGTCAGAGGATGCAGCCCTGCTCTTCTTCGTTGCACAGTTTGCGGCCCGATGCCAGTGACGGGAGGGTTTCGTATAAAGGGCCAATTGGCAGGCTCCGGCAATCCACCCGCGTAGTGTACTTCCACCATGGTCCTAGGATAGAGATGATGCCTCCTAGACAGCTAGGAATACATCATGTGTGTGTGTGTGTCTCACTCACTCACTCACTCAAGTTCGCACGGGGCATGTGTGTGTGTCTCTTAAAACAGGGAATCCGGTTGGTTTCCCTTAAAACCAACCCGAGAAAGGCACTACTTTCTGCCCGCTGGAGCGTAAGGCTTGGGTGTCCAGGCTTCAATCACTCATGCCGCTGCACCCTAAAAGCATGCCCTGTTTGCACGCGCAAATCAAGAGTAAGTAAGCGCCTGGTGCTGCAGCTTCTAGCTCCTGGGCAAACAGTTGCTTAGTCTCCGGAAGCATGTCTCGATTGACTAGAATCCACGAAAGCTTGTGAAAGTCTTTGAAGCAGTCTTTGGCGTGGGTGCAGAAGAACTGAACAGCATACAGCTAAGCCAGTAGCGAAGCCGTTCCCACCACAGCCAACCCAGCGCACAACCTTCGTGTCATAGCGTTAGGTTTCATACAACAGTCCAAGCAACAACCTTGCCCAGCCTTCTCTCATATTCCGGAAATGATCGTATGTGGTTGGTATTCAGAGTTTTGAGAGTCTCAAAGGATGGGGCTTGCCAAACACCGTCCGCTGATGAGCGACACGTTGTGTTGGATTTGTTTCTTGTTGCGGGAACCGGCGGCGCCCAGAGTTTTTCCACGCAAAGCATGGGGTCTTATGGGCTCGTCGTCGGCACCTATAGGGTCCACGCTGGTGCTCCCTAGAAATACTGACTCGCCAATGTGATATGGCCAAGGTATTTATTATAGTATGTATTTGTATATTAATATACATACGCACATGTTTTCCAGCCATAGGCAAATGCCTCAGTGGTTGAGCTATCAAGTGAGCAAAGGTTATTTGGCCAGATTTGGCCCACCCCCTCTGTGTGTGATGTTGAATGGATGGAGGGAATAAACTTCGCGTAGCTTAGCTTCTTGAATGTAGCTTGTGAGGCGGTGCTTGTGCTTAGGTTCTCTTCCTGCTGCTGGGCAGCTTGGTGAACCGCCTGCGTGTGGCCTTTGCGCCGCCCATGATGGTCCTCGCGGTGGTTCTATGGGGCCCAAGGGTCTGGGGGCCCTGGGGCAAAACCAAGGCGCGGCTCTTCCGGAGAGCGCAGGGGAGGAGTGCAGCTTCCGGTGAAGCCAAAGGGGCAACGAGTCCGGGGTGAGGTTGGCGCTGAGTTCTCAGCCGCCTTTGGCGAGCCCATATGGCTGCGGGTCAACAATAGGTACCCAAAATGGATCCCTGGCAAATGGAAACATGGACTAAAACCTGCGGTCCCCTGTTGGTTTTATTTTGACCATATAACCATATTGCTGGATTCTTTGCAAAGAAAGGCGAGGCACCCTTGAATGGCTTCACTGTTGCAGGGCTTTGGACTAGGCGCTTGTGGCAAGGAGGGTTGCTAAGACCCTCGATCTGCATCGTTTCTGGCAGAGGAGCACATGGCACAAACGGCTCAGTCGCGTCGGTCGGTGGCTTCTGCGTGACCAGATTGTTGGAGTCCGCATGACGAACATGACTCACTGGCTGATCATTGCGAGCTTCATTCAACATTTGCCTTCTGTAAAACTCGTAGACTGTGCGGAGAAGAGGTGTCACCGCCGCCAATTCCACAGCGCTTCGGTGCTCACTCGGTAAACCTTCGCATTGGTCCCCGCAAGAGACCTTCGCGAAGACATCATATGGCTCCTCATCACCAGGAAGGGTGTGGCAAGCCCCACCGCCCCGCCACGGGTGATAGAAACACGCCAGCATCCTCACCTTGAAGCTAACTAGGACATGTCGATAGGAAGATCCGCAAGTTCATGGCTGAGCAAGGCACAAGGCTGGCCAAGTCCTGTCCGGGGTCCGAATCCGGTCGAAGGCCTCGAGATCCGTCGCACCGAATTGGTCTGGAGGGATTCATGGCGCCCGATTTGCACAGCCGCTAGAGGAGTTCCCGGCAACGCTCCGGGGCTTGAGGCCAGGAACTTGGAATCACATAACCCAAAGGAATAAGGCCGGGTAGAGGCTCCTTGGACTGCGGCGAGCTGATCCGGCAGGTAGAACAAGTCCTTTCATTGAGGATGTTGTGCAGCGAGTTCGCAAGTTGAGTAGGACATGGGACATGATTTGTGCTCTACTTTCCAGCTGTACTGTCAACAAAGTCTTCCGCACCTATGTGTGCGCCCAAGGTCAAAGCGTGTCACGAAGTGATCCCTTCAAATCTGCACGGCAGGCGGTGATGCCAATTCTGCTCCTGGGCTATGTGTGCCACGGGCTCTGGATGGCCAGCATGCTGCCATGCCTCACAGCGGAAGAGGGCATTTGCCAGCACCTGGCAGACAAGTTCTCCAACGATGGCGACTTGGCGGACTTGTACGACTGGATCAATGAGGCGGGATCCCAAAAAGCTGAACTGATTCAGGGGAGGTGTGAGCAGCCCTTTGTGAAGCTTGCTTAAAGAATGAGCTCAATTGATGCCCTTACCCTCGAATTCCAAAGCACTAGAAAAAGAAGAAGAACAAAACAGACCTTCCTTTGTGATCAAACCCATTTATGGGGTCCAGAGCACATTTTTGGGTTTACAAAGCACATTTTTGGGAGGATGCCCTTTTTCCCCTTTTGGAGCCCTTTTCGGCCGCGTGTGCGTACTGAGGACTGCTTTTCACACACTTCACTACCATGAATGACTAAGATATGAGATCACAAGCAGATGATGCTTGTTGCCACTGATGTTGGAAATCACGCTGCCGGGCGCGTGGAACAATTCCCGTGTCAATGTTGCTCTCCCCGGGGGGGTGCCAGGAAATGTCTTTTTTACGCCACAAAACAAGTCCTTTTTATGGGTTGTCTACGGGTTGTCTACGGACTTAGACATCGGTGAAAATTCAAAAGCACTTTGTTTTTTGGTATACTGCTCCACTGCTCGTTTGTTTGAAACTTGGCTTGAAGTAGCGATGACACCACTTCCGCTGCAACACGTGGGCCATGCAAGTTATGAGCAGGTGAACCTGGCCGGCCCAGGACTAGAGATGCAAAAGCCCACCCCAAAAACGTCAGTTAAGTTCCCGGAAACGTCCTTTTCCCAGAGCACATGTAAAAAACGTCCGAGGAATCCCAGGGCTTACCAAAAAGACAAACGATTAATCAAGGTCTAGCGGAGTGATGGAGGGAGAGGGGAGTTTTGTTTGCAACAGGTTGAAGTGTCAGTTTTTGTGTTTCCAAGCTGCTGGCACGAGTGGCCATTCGGAGGTTAAGGCAACAACCAATGCTTTCGTCACTTGCTGTGTGTTGGTTGGACATTTTCTATCAACGCACCCTTGTTAAAGCGTCAAGCGAAACAGGCACACATTTCATCTCCAAAACGAGACGCTTCTTCCCATCTCTCGGCGTTTAGGTGGTGAAGCCTGGCACGCCGGTGTTGGCTTCCATGAACCTGGCGGGGTCCATGCGGGCATTCACCCATGTGCCGATGATCATCCACCCGCAGTTCGAGTCCGAGAACCTGCGGAAGCGCGTGCAGCAGGCTTACGAGCTCTACAACTGTGGCTCCGAGGAGTGTTAAGACAAAGCCTAAGTAAGTGCGCTGGCATGGTTGTTGATGTGTTTGATTGATTGCTTGCTTTGGTTTGGTTTGGTTTGGTTATTCGAGTTGTTTCTTGGTTGCTTGGTTGCTTGTTTCCTTGTTTGCTTGTTTGTTTGTTTGTTTCTTTGTTTCTTTGTTTGTTTGTTTGTTTGTTGCATGAGACATGTGTGTCGGAGGAACAAGCAGCATGCGGAAGCCCAGAGTGGCTGGGATGGGTTTGTTTAATCCTGTTCGTGACCATTTTGGGTCAAGTCTTGGTTCCCCCGCCCTATGACACAGTCATCCCACCCTTTTGTTGGGCACGTCTGTGAAAGCTGGGTGCAGAGCCAAACAGGCACTGTAACAGTTTGACGTCTCTGATGGCCTGCCTGCCTGCCTGCCTGCCTGCCTGCCTGCCTGCCTGCCTGCCTGCCTGCCTGCCTGCCTGTCTGTGCGTTTCTCTGTCTGTCTGTCTGCCTGCCTGTTTGTTTGTTTGTCTGTCTGTTTGTCTGTTTGTCTGTCTGTCTCTCTGTCTGTCTGCCTGTTTGTCTGTTTGTCTGTTTGTCTGTTTGTTTGTTTGTCTCTGTCTGTTTGTTTGTCTGTTTGTCTGTTTGTCTGTTTGTCTCTGTCTGTCTGTTTGTCTGTTTGTCTCTGTCTGTCTGTTTGTCTGGTTGTTTGTCTGTTTTATCTGCCTGTCTGTCTGTTTGTCTGTTTGTCTGGTTGTTTGTCTGTTTATCTGCCTGCCTGTCTGCCTGCCTGCCTGCCTGCCTGCCTGCCTGCCTGTCTGTCTGTCTGTCTGTCTGTCTGTTTGTCTGTCTGTTTGCGTGTCTGTTCGTCTGCTTGTCTGTTTGTTTGTCTGTCTGTTTGTCTGTTTGCCTGTTTGCCCAGTTGTCTGTTTTGGCTGTCGCTGTCTCAGCCTCTACCTATGTCTATGTGTATGTCTCCCTTTGTCTGTCTGTCTGTCTGTCTGAGTCTGTCTGTGTCTGTCTGTGCGTCTGCCTGCCTACCTGCCTGCCTGCCTGCCTGCCTGCCTTCCTGCCTGCCTGCCTGCCTGCCTGCCTGCCTGTCTGTCTGTCTGTCTGTCTGTCTGTCTGTCTGGTTGTGCGTCTGTCTCTACGTCTGTCTCTGTCTCTCTCTGTCTGTCTGTCTCTCCGTCTGTCTCTCTGCCTGCCTGCCTGCCTGCCTGTCTGTCTGTCTGTGTCTGTCCGTCCGTCCGTCCGTCGGTCTGTCTGCCTGCTTGTGTATTTATTTGCTTGCCTGCATGGTTGCTTGCTCGCTCGCTCGCTGGTTCGTTCGTTTGTTTGCTGGTTTGTTTGCTCCATGTTGATATGATGGTTTCCGTGTTTTGTCTGTTTCTGTGTTTCCTTGTTGATGTATTTGTTTGCTTGTTTGCTTCATTACTTGTTTGCTGGCTTGTGTTTGTGGATACGCGTTGCTGGATGACTGGCTGGCCAGCTGGGTGGGCGGGCGAGTGGGCTAGTGGGATGGTGGGAGAGTTGTTTTGCATCTTAGCTTCGCAAGGGAAGCATGGATTTAGCTTTTCCAAAGAGCTTGGCAATCCATGGCATTGAAATGTCATAAAGATCAGGCCCAAGTGAGTTTTTGCATTGTGTCGACAAAACAACTTGAGCATTCCACTCATTTGCCCAGTTTTGGCCAAGCTTGTTACGTACAAATGGTTTGTTTCCTTGCAACAGTCACCAACAAGAGGAACTCTGAATGTCGAGAGTGTTGAGACTTTGCCTTAAACACTATGCCAGGCTCCGCTGGCATGGAACAAGGAATGGCCGCCAACTGGTTTCTGCAAGAATTGGAATAGCCAGAGAAGAGAATCGGCTGTTGTTGGACGCCCTTCCTTGGATTCAGCTTTGCAACACCTGGCAAACTCGCGCTCGTGTGTGTGTGTGTACAAGACTGTCTATGCGTGAGGCAGTTTGATGAACAGACTTCCTTCCTTCCGTTGGAACGCTAGAATTGCCCACCCTCGGCTCCTGTGGTGTGCTCAAAGTCAAACCGCCAAGGTCTTGCGCAAGCGACAGGAAGGAAGCCACTCGCGGCAACTGGTAAGCCTTGGACCATGCATTAACCCCTAGAAACTGTTATCCTCTTTGTGGGTTACACACTTACACCATCACCTCGGCAACTTGATTGTGTGCACACAGTATGTCAAAATAGAGGGGGACGCCAAACATGGCTGGTTTCCCTTATGGGTTTGCCCCTGACCCCCGAGGAGTCCTTCGCCACAACCATGGAGAACTTGAAGGCGAAGCTGGTGATCTTCGAGTACTCCCGCTGCTTCTTCACGCCCTACAAGCTGGACGACAAGCGCAAGAACTGCAATTCCAAGAAGCACCAAACGGAGGAGCGATCCAAATCCGGGAGACGGGCTAGGGGCAGACATGGGCTAGGGGCATGGATTCGGAGCCCTTGTTCTTGTGGCGTTGACTCAATGGTTTTGATTGCTTTTCAGGATCTGAGGAGTCAAACAGCAAGCCAAGTATGGCTGCTCGTTCTTTGCTTGTGGATGTGCACCACTTTCCAAACTTGAGCAGCCCATTTGATGGGACAAGCCTGAGGTGTGTGTTTTCTCCTGGAAGGGAACCACCACTTGGGAGTAAGTTGATACGCCCTAGAGAGAGGAAGCCACCTGTCAAGGACCTCATGTGCATGAAGCTTCATGCCCGGTCGAGATACTTCAAGCTTATGCCTTTTGGCCAGAGAACGGCCAGGGAGCAGGACTGGTCTTCAGCGCGCTTGGGGCGCCGAAGTTTGCGTTGCCACCGAGTTTCTGAAGCGCCACAGCTTGGTGGCCTTTGTACAACACGTAGGAGAAACCTGGCTTAGCCATTGCCCCCTCAGCAAAGCAAGTGCTCTTGCAGACCTCGGCCAAAGATCCAAGATCCTGCACAGCAAGAGGTGCACAAAGTACCGTACCAGCTGGCTGCGGCTTGTGAGTCGCAAGTGCATTTTGCCATTGACCTTCTCATTTCTGGCCATGACCTACATTTTAAATCAGTTTGACGATTCATCATGATTTCCGTGAGCTAGGTCATACAGTCATATTTTGTTCGAAGATTCCTCGCACCGGTTTACTTTTGGTTAGAGTGCGTAGGCTGGTGCGTTAGTCTGCGAGCATTTCAACACTGACTTGACGATCGGCCTCTGCAACAAGCCATTTCAATTTCGATCTAACAAACGCAATCCGAGTGACCGTGGGACAGTCAACAATCACACCCTTTTAAGATTTCCAGCCTCCAAAATGTCTCACCATGCCGGATTCTGGGGGGGGGGGGGGGAAGGGGCTGTGGTCGTTTTGAGCTTCAAGAAGCACGGCTTGTGTTTGACCAGACGTCCCATGCCGGGGAATCCTAAAATCCTCAGGATTGGCAGCGGGATTTCGCGAAGTCAAAGGGGAAGGAGGCAAGTCTCAGTTTTGTTTGTCGTTTTATCTCAATATTGTTCCTTGTTTGCGCAGCAATTGGGTTTTGTTTGAGCATGCGTCCAGCCCAGCTCCACGTTGCTTAGACCTCTATCCTTGTTGTTTCTTGTGAGCATGGCGACGTTTTGATGTGGATTGCTCGATGGCCGGAGGAGTTTTATTTCCAGAGGCCCAACTCATGGATCAAGGGCTCCCAGGCTCGGATCAAGGGCTTCATTTCTCACCCGAAGGGCCCATCTGAAGCCTTTTCGGCTGAGGTTCATGAACGGCAACTACGCGGTCTTCCAGCTGCGCAAGCAGCCTCTGGATGGGCCTCGGCCCAAGGCCCTGGAGGTGCGACGCTGGCTGGATGACCACTCCAACTGGCAGGACTACGCCCAGCTCTGTGAAAGGCGCGGCAGTCGCGAGGATTTCTGGAGCCAGGAGGTGTTCAAATGTACTCAACGAGCAAAGCACCTGCAAAGGAGGCTCCCCTTTGACCCAGCCTCATCTTCCAAACAGCCAGGACCGGTCTCGCAGCGGCTTGTGCTGGAAAGAAAACGTTGGGTCTCCTGGCACATCCCACGAGCGGGGCACTGGGCCGCGTGACGTTTGAACAGCATGGATGTTTGTGCTCGTCGATAGAGAACAAGCACCACAGTGGAGAGTTCGCAAAGCAATGTCCCGAGAAGTACAATCAATACGGGCATGCGACAATAAGACTTGAGGTACAAGCAAGGGTCTAGCGAGTGAACTTGTGTTATACTTATCCGGGTTCAAGCTCAACACGATTCTTGCAGTGTGTGTGTGTGTGTGTGTGTGTGTCAAGAATTTGTCCAAACCCCAAAGTGTCCCTAGCCGCTCGCCGCTCGCTGGCGGCTGGCTCTCGCCGAAGGACCCAAAAGGAGAAGTGTGGGCCGAGGCTCATGGAGGCCGCGGCCCATTTCTTGCATGGGCTGAAGAAGCCCCAGGCCGAGAAACGGAGGGCCGGAGGGTGGTACCCCTGAGGATGCCATGGTTCTTGGTTGGTGGTTGTATGTCTTGTGGTGGTTTTCGTGATTTGTGCAGGGGAAGCTGGCATTTGTGATGTCGGTGTTTTGTGTTGTTTTGTGGTGGTTCTTGTATTTTTTCGTTCAGGGGAGACGGCACTCTAATTTTTATGCGCCTTTTTGTTGATGGGTACGGTTGCCGGATGTTGCGGTGGAATCATACTTATAAGGTACGTAGCAGGCCTTGGGACGTTTCGCCAGCCAGCGCTACAGAATCTAATAGGTGATGTTGAAAGGATAGCAAAGCGACACACAGTTCTCGTTTGAATCAACACTTCTTCAAACATCATGCGGGGGCTGCCGCCCCCCCCAACCCCCCCGCTACGTTTTAGATTTTTTACAGAGATTTAATTGCACCCCCAGTTGAATCATCAATTCTTCGAACATCATGGGGGGGCGGCAGCCCCCCCCAACCCCCCCCCATCCCCCCCCTTACTTTTTAGACTTTTTGCGGAGATTGAATTGCATTCTGCGCACATGATGGGGGGCGCTGCCGCCCCCCCCCCAACCCCCCCGCTACGTATACTTTCTATTGTTTTGACCCCGTCACGATTTGTTGGTGATGCTAGGGATGTTGGTCGGACGTGCGGGGGATGTTGAAAACGATGCTGGGGATGTTGACGGGCTAGTGTAAAATGCGTCAATTTCGCGAGAAAATGCTGTAAAATACGACATTTTTACTGGCCCGGACGAAAAACGAACAAAATGCCAAAACAAACAAAAAATACAAAAAACAAACGCACCCATTGTTGAGGCCTACACGGCCGAAGTCCGGTCTACTTAGATCTCAGATGGCGGTTGGACAGACGATTGCTTATACATGTTCCGTGCAACAAGTGGCAATCAGCGGCAAGCAACACGGGCCTTGGAAGATGAGTTCCGTGATTTGCATGGCATGTATTTTCGTGGCTGTCCTCGACGTAGCCATCCAGCTATAGGTTTTGGCGTCCACCAACAGAATGCCTCAGAGCCAGCCGGAGCGTCAGGGCAACGGTACAAGACTCGATTTGTCGCATTTGAACATGGTTGTTGACAAACATGTTTCCCATTTTTGCTTATTGTGGTTTAGTGGGAAATCCAAGCATTTAACTGCTAAAATTTAAATTTTGCTTCCCTTCCAACGTCAACCAAGTGAAGTTTGTGAACCCCACGTTGACGCCAGACGACTCGCTTGACGGGCCAGGCAAAACCTAGGTTGCCTAGGTACGCGACGGTGTCCAACGATTCGGTTGAGCGGCTCCTTGTGCCCTGAGCTTATTCCATTTCTGCTGCCTTTTGAATAAATACTTTCTCCGCAGAATAGCATGATGCATTGGTTCTTGCTGTAGGCTGAGTCTGCATGTTCTAGTTTCATGGTTTGGGGTGTTTGTGGGTTTGTTTGTGGGTTTGTTTGTTTGTTTGTTTGCTTGCTTGCTTGTTTGTCTGTCTGTCTGTCTGTCTGTCTGTCTGTCTGTCTGTCTCTTTGTTTGTTTGTTTGTTTGTTTGTTTGCTTGTGTGTGTGCTTCTTTTTTTTTTCTCAGGTGGCTATGCTTACGAGGGCATTTAGGTATGTGTGTTTCCGGGTGCGAGATGACGGCTCGGCGCAATCATACTCATCTTGTTATGTTATTGCAGTTTTACAGACCGCTCGCACCGTGTGAGCTGCACTGCATCTCTCAGCCCGCAGCTGTTTTTCAACGTAGCACTTGCAGGTCTGTCATGTTCTAAATACCCTTTGCTTGGGTTTGGATAGTTTCCGAGCGTTCAGGGCTACTACCTAGACGCATTCCCAGGTAGACCCCTTTTGATAGGGATGGTCATCAACGACCATGGTAAGGCAATCTGGCCATGAATTTTAATAGGGAACCACCTCAAAAGTGAAAGGTGGACATGAATCCCCACCTAAATGATAAGGCCAGGGATCCTTCGCACGGATTTCAGGCGGCGGCCGAGCTGCGGAGCTGGGCGCTGAAGCTCTTCCCGGAGAACGGCTATGTGAACTACTACCAGGCGAGATGTGACGTCTTTGGGTATGCACGAAAATACGGATTGGGACCTAAGCAAAGTGTCTTTCCTGTTGTTTCCCGAACCAACCTAGGGTACCCTCAAAGACACCAGTTTGCAATGAGATGTTGCTTTTGGTGTCAGCGCCATCTTGAAAAAATGGCCACCTTTCAACTGCGCACAGTTCGTTTTGACTCAGTGGGTAGTGGTGGTAGTCCTGCCAGTGCTGCTGGTGCTGCTGGTGTGTTTGCTCCTGCTGCTGCTGCCGCTGTTGTTGATGTTGCTGTTGGGCGCGCACACAGCGCTTGCTTGCACATACACCCACACAAGTGCGCACAAGGTCCCAAAAGTTTGCTAACCAACTCGGAGAAGCGACAGCCCACGTCCGCGCAAGATTAGCATAGGCCGAGGCCATGCGTAGGCATTCGCTCCACTCTCCCATTTCCAACCCAGAATGCCAAAGCGAAGACATGGTCAGAACTGGTTCCCCCAAAAGCTGGCAGAGTTAGTGATTGAAGATGCTGTTGTCATGCTAACGTTTCTATTGAACCCCTCCCCTCCCCCTCCCCTCCCCCTCCCCTCCCCTCCCCTCCCCTCCCCTCCCCCTCCCCTCCCCTCCCCCCCCCCTCCCCACCCCACCCCTCCCCTCCCCTCCCCTCCCCTCCCCTCCTCCCCCAATCCTCAGATTAAAACGGTTCCGCGGGAGGAGGCGGTCTGCAGGAGACGGTGGTTGTAGGTAGCCGCTCTGCTTGATTGAGAACCGCATCCGGAGATAAAATAAAGTTTTCCGTGGGCCCCGGAATTGGCTTTTGCCAAGCGCGCCCTACTAAGTAGGGGTTGTCCCGGAGACCCTTGTCAGTACTGGACCCCGAAAGCGGGTGGTATTCATTAATCCTATGTTGATCATCCTGTGGGTTGCAGATTCCCGAGTGCGAGAACTAAGTGCAGCATACAGACAACTGCGTGGGCCGGCATAGGTGCCTCCAGGCAGACATGCCCTTTGCACAGGGTGCTGGCATAGGGGCGCGTTGCGTCCATGGAGCTACCTACCTTCCAAACGAATCGTTCAATTGTGCCTTTCCGCTTTGGGTAGGCTGACGAAGATGGACCATGGAGAACACTGAACGTTTGAACGGACATGGAGCAATTCATCATAAAGCCGGCTTAAAGGAAGCTGTCGCTAAAGGGTGGCAATCATGAGAAATGGGACCGATGAATGCCGGTCGTTGGCTGAATCGCAACGCTCAATGCACTGTGCTTCAATCGGCGGAGGTTGTCGGTTCAACATGTCTGATCGTCTGCGTTGGGATTTGAGAGACGGACTACCTTGTACCTTTTACAACGTGAACTTTGGTAAGGCAAAGTAGTTTCACCCTGGCTACGTAATGTGGATGAATTGGACTATCTTGGGGCCAATTCCTGCAGAACCTGCTGGTGAGTCCAAATACTGCGAGTGTGTGTGAGAGAGTTGTCATTGTGTTCCGCTCGCTTTGCTTTGACTTCGCTCATCTAGTCACGGGCTACATGCGCCTGGGGCAAGCATTGTGATGAAAACATGGCTTTCTTTGAAAAGCATGACCCAGGGAGCATATCCGTGGATCGCTCCGCATTTCAGGATTTGGCATTCGAATCCCACAGCGGGACTCGCAATGCGGGATTGGGGATTCGGGAATTCGGGAATTCGGGACAGGATTCGTCGTTCGGGATCCGGGGCGGTCTCGGGGTTCGGAATTCATTGGCGATTCAGGTTTCGGGATTTGGGGATCCGGGGTTCCGGATTCGGCATTCTCGTTTTCCTGGAGCACAACGTTTTCCTGAAACGCGATGTTTTAGGTTGGCGCTACGAGCAACATACAGGTGTCCACGGATTTTCCACGAGTTTGCTGCAGGACACTCCCTTGTTTCTCAACAAAGTTGCAAAAATCATCAAACGCCGTCAAAATCCGACTGCTGGAGCTGATTGGAGCCCTATACCGTGTGAGAACACCAGGATTTTGGAATCGAGAGGCCCCCCGCCCATCCTCCTGCAGCACTGCAGCACACAATTATTTTCAGATTGGGTTTGGAATCAAAAGCTTTGCAGGGGGAGCCTATGCCGGCGCAAGCAATTGAATGCTGCATTCCTCTCTCAGGGTGGCAAGAGCATAATTTCCTGGGCAAAACACAGTGTTTTTGCAAAGGTACAACAAATGTACACGTTTTTGAAGCCCGGCCTGGGATATCTTGCCACCAGCAGCATTCCATGTCTTCTGTAGGCTAGCTGATTTGTGCGGAAATCAGGGGTCATGCTTTCCTCCTCATGGTGCTTGAAGCCGGAGCACGGAAGCCCAGCTACAAAGCAAGACAACGCACTTCAGCTCCTTGCCGCTTACATTTAGCGTGTTTTGGACACTTGTCAGCACGCGGCTGTCAACTTTCTCAACTCCAGACAGTCTACTGTCCGCGAGGCCAGGCGGGGCCTAAGCCACTTGCGGCAACCGTGTTCACGGCGCGTTTCTCGGTCGAAAAAGCTTGCCGCTGGAATGAATGGGGAGTCTGGTTGGCGTCACCAGCCCTTGCTCGAGGCCGCGATCGATTCCTCCTTCACCTGGCGCTTCAGGGTTTGCAGCGGGATCCCCTGCTTATCAGGGAGGTTTCCGCAAGCGACTGGCGCGCGCGTAATGTCGAGCTCGGCCCCTGAAAGCAGACGGTGCCCCGCAAATCGTTGGTTTTTAGAATAATATTTTGGAAGTTCTTTCCGAGATTGGACTTGAGGCAATTGAGGTCTCATTTCAGCCTGCTTTGGTGGATGTGAGTGTCCGTGAGATTTCGTGCTGCTGGATTGGACGTTCCATCTGATGTAGCTGCGTGGGGTTGAACGTGTATTTTTGTGTGTGGGGCGGGATGCATGTTCTTGGCGGGCGGGGTGAGCCTACATGTCGCGCCGCTTTCTTCATGTGCTTCCCCGCTGCGGCTTTGACCAGGGCTAGGGTCTACATGCAACGATGTGTTGACAATGAGTTTGGGGTTGTTGTTTTTCCGAAGGTTATAGTTTTGACTTTGTTTAAGCTTATAGTTGCGTTTCGTTTTGTGGGGTTGAGTGTTTGGTTGATTGCATGTTTTGTGTGTTTTTTAGAGGGTCTAATTGGGGGCCAGTATGGCCCGTTTAGCGCATCTTGCAAGGCACACAGGTGTAAACGCGCGCAACAACAGGCTCGCTTCCTGGATGTGGACGCCAACAGGCCGGAGCCGGAAGACGCGCTGCTGCCAAGAGCGCGAGTGAATCCTCGCTCTTGACCTGTCAAAGGTGGCACGCTGAGTATGCATCTCACATTTGGCGTTTGGCGATTGCATTTGACTTATACTGTCTTAAACTTGCTTGTTGCATTTTTCATCCGGACGGCCAAGAGGATGGGCTGTCGCACACGGGCAATTGAGCCGGAGCCTCGTGCAAGGACTCTTCCGTTCTACACGTCAAGCACGCGCAACGTGACGCAACACATAACACCCGCCACGGCCAGCGCTTTCGAGTTCCCACCTTGGAGGCCGAAAGATGCCAAGCCTTACTACGAGAAGGCCTTGCGCTTGCTTCAGAACAACCCGAAGGTTCTCACAGAGGTGCCGCGATTCGCGCCACAACTTGCGCGATCCAGTCCATGTTTCAGTCGAATCAGGCCAGCTGCTGACCTAGGATGTGGTTGCCTTTTTTTAAACAGCAGCTGAAGAGCCCTCAACACTAAGGAAGAAAAGGCGGTTCCAGCTGCCTTGTGAGGCCCAATTTCTGGCGAACTCTGATTCCTGCCTCGAGCCTGTGCATGTTTCAGATCCAGGCCCCTGCTCAGAAAATGTTTGAAGGGAGCGCTCAAGGCACACCGTCCTTGATCACACCAGCTTATCATGTGTGTATGCATGTACTGCAATGTCATGCCATGTCATGCTTGAGTGCTTGTTTGTGCCCCAAGCATCTCACAGACCTGGACCCCCAAAGGGACACCAGCCCATTGGATATTTGCAAGGTGATCCTCTACCATGACCTGGTGCTCCAGCACCCCAGTTTCTCCTCTGCGCTGGTGCAGCGCCGCGCCAAAAGCTCCAAAGCGGGAGAGCTCTCGCTGCTGCAGCTCAAGGGTCCAGGCAGCCGGCTCTCGCCTTTGGCTTTGGAACCAAGGGTGTTTTTTTGGCGTGCTGTGTGGTGAATGTTGCAAGACTTGCGAACGGCCCGTTCCCGCCCGCGCGACATTGAGAGTGGACTTAAGAAGAAGCAGGAGTTGGCAATTGATGGCCTTTACCAAAGCATCCAAGTACCTCTGGTGGATCCAACTGGATTCGGCTCTCAAACTTGACAACACGCACAGGTAGGGCACACCAAATTTTCGACACCTGTTGTCCAAAGTGCGCTAGGAGGCGGTCCACTGGTTGAGTAGAGGGGGCCTTTTTTGGATGGTGACTGAACAACTAGCTCTGAGTGGTGCGCGTTCAGCATGTAGCCGGTCAAGGATATGTGTCAAGAGAGCTGGCAATCATGGAGGAAGATAGCATGTTTTTCAACTACCTGAGAGTTTGGGGCCCTGCCATCGGACATGTTCTCAAGCAGGCTAGGTTGCTCCCCTCCCCCGGATTGCATGTCTTCAGCGTGAGCATTCAACTCGATTGGACCCATCTCCAGCGAGCTCGCGCCAGGCGTGGGCACGCTGATGTGCGAGGCTGCAGTGGCCGCCAAGAGCGGAGGGCAGGCCAAACTGGCGCTGCAGCTGTGGCAGAGGGCACAGGATCCATGGGTCGCGAACAGCAGGTAAAGAGACAAGGTCAAGCACGACCGAAAACCAACGGGGTGCAAGGTCCCACGATCATACTGCTGGCTTGCGATTTGACACTTCGTTGAGGGGTGAACGAAGTCATGTTCATGGGAGGGTGGTCGTTACCCCGTTGATGGGGTTTGAAGAAGATGGATATGGAAGAATCGGCTTACCAATGTGCCGTGGCCATTAATTTGTTACGCATTGCTTGATTCCGTGTGGATGATCGATCCCTGAGAATTGCATGAGATGCTTAGTGATTCGGAAATGAGATCTGTGTTTGCCAGCCACCTCGCAAAGCACGACCCCAAAAGGCCCAAGTCAGAAGTTCTGACGTTGCAAGGTTTCGTCTCCAGAAAAAGGGAAGAATCCACAACCACTTAGACTTGTTCCTTCCATTTCAAGCTTCACTGGCGAGGGGAACGCGCCTGCGCCAAATCTATGAAGTCACAAACAAGAAGATTGTTGCAACCCTTGGATACATGCGGAACCTGGCAGCGAGCGTACAAGAGCAGTCGCTTGCAGAAACACTGTGGCTATTTCACCGACCTTTTCAGAAAGTCCAGCTCCGATAGCTCGGTGTTCTTGCAGCACAGTAGAACAATCTTCTCAGCTGCAGTCGTGGTGCCATTTCTGGCTGCAGCACCTGCAGGGTTGATTGGTGAAGTTTGGGCACATACGCTCGTTGAGCCGCTGCGTGTGACTTGCTTCAAGTTTATTTGCGTGTTGTGTTGACTGGACGGTCATCGATCCTTTGGCGATGATTTTAGACAGCATTGCGCAAATCGTTCGCATAGTCTTGTACCGAAGCCGTCATGCTGACACTAATCACATCCTTTGCTTACCGATGAGAACCCGCAGTTCAAGGACCAAGCCCTGCATTTCCGTGCCAATCGGACAACTATGTTCAAACCTTTGAGCTTTACGCTGATCTTTTTTTGCGTGGAATCCCAAAGTATATCCCAATGAACTCCGAGAAATGCACTGGAATTGGAGCCCATGAACTCCCTCTTCTGATGCGCATCCACTTGGCAGGAGCTGGCGCCTTTGGGGAACTGCGCCTCGTATATACTCAACCGCAGGGTGCAGTATCTTTTGGAGGAGTGGCACACGTTTGGGGATCAATTTACCAGGGTTGAAGATATTTGACCTGTTGCAGTACTTGGTTTTGTGCTGATTTGCACCGCAAGCATTGCAATGGGCAATGGGTCTTGTTCAGATATAGATTCCTTGCAGTGTTGGATTGCTTTAGCTTTTCATTTGCAACCCAGCAGATAGCAGATGGGAGGGCGCCCACATTTTGAGACGTGGCATACAGCCTGCCTGGCAAAGAGGCACAAAGGGTCTCTCGCGAAGCACAGAAGGCGGGTATATGTCTGAGGTGTGAGGAACAACTGGCCCATCATCAACGATGAGAGTGCCTTGCAATGTGGGAACTGGGAGTCTGGGAGGCCTCTAGACCGACAAGGAGTCGCATGCCTACTCGCACGATCGGATGGTATGGCCAAGTGTGTATTGGCACTTTGTGATGACACTGCTTGAGTGGGTCATACGGCGTTGTGTTGTTTAGTGTGTATCGGTGCCTCTCAAGGAATCAGGTCAAGAGGCTACAAAGGAGTCGAGCAGAAGTCCAACACCGCAGTTGACAGCAAGTTTGCCTGGGTCGGGGTATTCATGTTGTTGTAGTGTGTTCATGTTTGAGAGCACGGATCTATTCTGTTTGTTCTACCCCCTCCACCTCCAGAGGTAGCTTGTTTCTCGTATTACCAGATCTTCCATGTCTACAGGTCTCGCACAGAGTGACCGAATTCCTTGCAATGTATGTTTATCCATGTTTGCTTTTCAAACGCGCCAAGAAAGGCAATCGAATGGCATGCTTTTGCTTTTCATTTGCCTGTGTTCAACGGATGGGTCTGCGGACTGTGGCAGATCTTAGGGCCACTTTTGCAGTCGGGTGTTCATGTGTTGCGCTGCAGTGGTTGTTTAAGGAGCACGAGCTATGGCCTAGCAAGTTGAAAGGCTGGACGAAGTCAGCGGGAACTCTGAACGAGGCACACGTTTGCCTACTCCGTGCAAATATATTTGAGCTGGGCTGCAGCCTTGCGACACATTATCGGAATGCAACATGCTTGTGTCTGCAAGATACCTATTCCTTCACCTCCCCAATGTGACCATGTGTTTTGAGCACGATAATGATGCTTGCCTGAAAGGTTTCATCACCTTCGGAAGTTCCTTTTGTCCTGAGGGGCAGAAGACAACTCCTACGCGCGCCAATATTCCACCTGGGCCAAAGTTCGGATGGCGGCAGCGGGTGGAGTTTCCCTGGAAATCGGGCCGCACCATTTGGTGAATGTGCGCTTCCTGGAAGATGATGTGCCTCGGATGGGAGGGATGCACACATATACAATCACAAACACATGGATACATTGGTGTGTGTGTGTGTGTCAAAGCGGGACCCCCACAAATTGTAGCTGTCCTTTCGACTTCTCTTTCAACCAAGGTGAAAAGGGTCAACACACACACACATACCCACACACACACACATACGTACACATATCATACCGGCACACATACGCACACGCTCACACTCTGGCAGGTTTGTACACTGACACATGCACTCGCATGCGCACAAGCAAACAAAACACAAAGCGAGATACACAAAGAGAGTATTTACGCGGACACACACACACACACACCCACAGACACAGGGACACAGGCACACGGGGACGGACACACAGACACACAGGCTCACTCACACACACACACACACAGACGCACGGGCATATAAAGACCCACACAGACACACGGACGCACCGCGCGCATACGCACACACACACACAAGTCGCACGCACGCACCCACGCACGCACGCACGCACACACGCACGCACGCACGCAAGCAAGCAAGCAAGCAAGCACGCAGCACGCGGCACGCAGCACGCAGCACGCACTCACGCACTCACGCACTCGGCACTCACGCTCTCACGCACTCACGCGCTCACTCACGCACTCATGCACTCTTGCACTCACGCACTCACACAGACACAAACAGACATGCATACACATGCAAGTCTTGCTTTACACCCCAATTGTGTAAATTGACCAGCCTTGCGATGCGCAAACATGCACGGCACAGCACGCAACAAACTACAAGACACACACACACAGAGGCACACACAGACACACACGACGCTGTACAGAGTGGCTCCGTGCAGCACCCGGCACCCCATGCCGCACTGCCCGATACAACACCATACTACATTACATAGCCATATCAAGGAATGTGTTCGCATTCTCACTCAGCACCATACAACAAACGCGGCTATACATGTGCATTTTGCTGAAGACACACGCTATATGTATATATAAATGGGGGGGGCCGGACCATATAGCTCAACCCATATATATATATATATATTATCTCTCTTTCATGGCAAGCGGTGGCTGAAGCAACTTGACAGAGCTCCGAGGACTTGACGCTTTGGCCACCGAAGAACAAGACGAGCTGGTGAGGGGCGGTTCGACCAGCGCGGTCGATATTCGCAGAAACAAGGGATCCAGGCATTGGACTTGCAAGAAGAGTATTTTCGGGCTTCAGGGAAACATATCTTCTAGAATGCATCCATTTCTGCACTTGGCAGTGCAACCGCTGGCAGGCTTTAGTCAAGCATCGGCCGGCAAGGCCTCACGGTGCGACATGGGCGACCCATCAGCGCAGCAAAACTTTCCCACAGATCGCAAAATACATCGGCCTGAGCAAGTGCCGCCAAGTTGTCAAGCTCAATGCTGGCATAAAAGGGACGTCAACTACTACAAAGAAGCGTTTGCGTTGGCCTCCACCACATGAATCTGTTCAACCAGCAGAACATGGCAGATTTGGTACAGTCAGCCCCATCAAGATTTAACTGCTTGACACGAGCTATATCAACTCCCAAAGTGTTCCACACGCAGGCCTTTCCAGCCAAATTTCCGGCAGCTTTTAACAACAAATCCTCTTGGGTTGACCAGGTTGACCAGGTTGCCTCTTGCGAGATGTCTTCCGCAGAATTAGTTCCCCTTTTCAATTTTTTGTTTTTCTGAGGTTCCCTTTGTTTTCCACTACAAGGCCAAAAAAACATGTTTTGCTGGGGTCCTAACTCCAGCCAAGATGTTAGCTGGGCTTCTACTCCAACAACAGCCAAGGCCAGCTTCCATGTAGGCTGCGAGCCCAGCCATGCCGGCCGCTCGTGCGCTTTCGCCCGGCACGCTGGAGGAGTTGCGCCGGGAGCTCAGCTGATGGGTCCTTTGGGCCCAGGTGGAGGTAAAATAGAACTTGGTGGTTCGCAGCCATCCCCCTAGCTTTTTAGCCTTTTAGTGTTTAGCGGGGATTTCCATTTAACCCACTAAAAGTTAAAGTTTTAGCGGGGGATCTGAGGGCAGCCCAGAGAAGATAAGGATTGAGGTCCATGTTGGCAGAACTCAGATGGAAGGTGATGTCCTGGAAGACATAAATACACATTTGTTAGTTGCATTCAGACATCAAGTACAAGATCAAGAGCCAGGGCAAGATACCATCCACCTTTTGGATTTGTCACCTGATACCTGTGTTGGCCGACTGTGTCCCGCTGGTTCCTTGGCTTGAGTTGGTTGCTGTTGGCCACGCGATGTTAAATGTATTTGGTCGTGGGATGCTTTGTACAAGGTGCCAGGTTCATGAAGACCACTATTCGCCCAACCTTGCGACAGAGACCGAGCATCCAACATGGCTGGCGTAAACCCCTCAAGCGCAGCACAGGGAGCCCCGGATGTGTCCTGGACGTTTGCGTCCTCGGATGTCACCAGAGGCAGTCTTGAGCCGGACAGGTCAACCTGACTACCTTAATGTTGGACCCTCTTTCAAGCGACCCCCCCCCCCCCCGGAACAGTGGAAATCAGTCAGCTGGACCCTCTCTAGTGAAAATCCTGGGGGTCTGGCAGGACAGTACTTACTTTGGTATTGCCAATTTTACTTTAGTATTGCCAAGGCTCCCTCTCATAATCCCAGTACTTAGGCTTTTAACCTTTGAGCTGGGGAGAGCTTAGGATGAGCCCCCCCTTCTAAAAGTAAAAGGCTGAGGCTTTGATTTTCAGTTTTTCAGCAACCCCGAAACCCATTTGGACACTAAAGAGGACCCCAAGACAGTCACACTAAAGAGGATCAGGGGCTCTTGTGGGCACCCCCCTTTGTGTGACCGATTGTCCTCACTGTGTGTAAAGAAGCTATCTTAATTTGATGGTTTGGGAACAACTTGCAAGATGGATTTCCTAGATCTCAGGCCTTTAACCTTTGAGCTGGGGAGAGCTTAGGATGACTAAAAATCTGAGGATTGGGGCAAAACAACATTCCATAATAGAGGACCCCTAGAACAGTCACAGGATTTCTGAATTAGAAAACAAGTTTCCACAATAGAGGGTACTATTTATAAAGGAGGTCTAGTACATTGAAAACCTGACGGCCATTGTGGTGGGAGTTCCATGCCGGGCACAATGACCCCGGACAAATATTGGTTGCACACTCAAGCCACCGGCTCAGGACGTGGAGTCTTTTCCACGTTGCTTTTGAGTAGAGTGCGGACATGTGCAATGAGAGCACCCAGAGAAACAGAAAGAGGCTGAACACAGCAGACGCAGCCTGTCACAATACAACTTGCACTTGTTTCATTCTGGCTCCCTTGCCGACCACTTCTGGCTCCCTTGCCGACCCCTTATGGAGAGGAGAGTTTCCTGTTGCTTGTTTTGTTTTGCCGGCGTGGTTGTCCAATACCCAGGTGCGCACCTTGGCGCTTTGAGCAAGGCAGGTTCGATTGAGCAGCGGTCTTCGCTCCTGATTGATGCCCCCGTCGCATTCCATCTTTGGGATGAAGTAGGCTTTATTGGAGATAGAGGAGCACTTAAAGAGGAATGTTTGGGCTCAACATGTTCTATGCAAGCACTTGAAAGCTCTAAGACTATGTAGCCCGCCTTGCACTTTTAGCTCGCCTACTCCATTTCGCTCATGGTGGTGCATGTTATGTGAGCACAGTTGGCCGTTCTTTCCCCAAACATGAATGTGTGGTATGCACAACCATGCATTTCACTCAGCATGAGCTTGCTTTGCTTGCGTGCTCGTGCAAGCGTGAGTGCTTGCTTGCTTGATTCAGCGGGGGTTCCAATACTCTACACATATACATATATATATATATATATACATATATACATATATATATATGAATGTATAGTAGGTATGGATTTGCATCGAAGCAAGTTGTGGTCAAAGACCGTTGCCAGGCAGCTTGATCCAAGCTGTTGTTTTAATTCTTGCACATTTTCCCGCCTGCCCATGGCCATTTGCGTTTCTGGCCAAAGGCGAAACACCTTGATGCGTGGATATGACTTGAGACTGGGACACAAATGTGTGAGCAAAACTGCGTGCGTAACTCTGGACCAATGAGGCAGGAGTTCCGGGGCCTGATTCCAGGGCTTAAAGGCTTACATCAGACGAAGGTTCTCAAACGAGTGGATGACTGCCTCTCAGTTCACGTCGGCGAACACCCTGAAACCGGAGAATGGGCGACAGGGGGGGTCTTTTTGCTGCCTTTTGTGGAATGATCGACACCGTGAAGGAGTCCTTGGGGTCGCCAATCTCAGAAAAGGTAGGTGCCCTTTACCCCGAAGGCAGCCAGCCGGTTGCAGGCTTCCCCGAGGCTGCTGCAAGAAGCCGCCGGCCAGCTGGATGTGGAAGGCTGGAATGCCCTATCGTCGGTGGCTGTGTCAGGTAAACCTCTTTTTGTGTTGCCCAAGGGAAACCAGGGAAAAGACAACCAAAGAAAAAAGAACAAAGAAAAAGAGGGAACCACAACTATTTCACAGAAGAACCAAAGGGAACCAAGGAAACCAATAAACCAAATTATGCACCCGCGAAAGGTGATCGAAAACAATCTTTGTTTGCCTGCATGCGAGTAGGGCTCGGGCAGGTGGGTTGGTATGGAGCAACTGCAGATGACAAAACTCACGAACGAACACTTGTGAGGAGGTAGGTATGTCATGAGCTTTGAACTCCGCTTGCCAAAGGCGCTTGCTTAGACCAACGACAAAGAACCTGCGGGATGCGGATGCTTGCTTGAAAAGCTGTGGCTTTGCACGAGACACTTGCAAACACACACGCACATGCAGAGGGTAATACACCGGCCGAATAAGACATTTTAGCTTTCCTGCACGCGCAACAGCGAAAACGAACTTCAAGCCCATTTCTCAATGCTTGAAAGGAACACATATGTTTTGCCACGAAAGCTCCACGGAAGCCTTCGCCAAAGGAGTTCGATACTTCTCTTCGGCCGCAACTGGGTTTAGAACACGGCTCAACTGTATCTTGATTGCGGCACTATTCACCGCAAGGCTCATTGGTGCTCCGAGATACAGTCAGGGACGCACAAGCCGTTGCCAACTTCATTCAGTTCAGCCGAAACTCCGGCAGTAATTATGGTGGAATCATGAGGTGGGCTCGCTTGATGTGAGAGAAAGCACTTTCGGGGGATTGGCGTAGGTCTGGCCTCACCGTTTGTTTTGAAGTATGCTTGTTTCACTCTTTAGTTGGGAGGATCAAGGATTTGTTTTTCTTGGTGTTATCAGGGTTCCCTCCTGGAAGTAGAGCGGTTTTTTTGCAATGTGTTTGCCTTTCTGATGGCAACCTTGCTCAGATTGCGGCAGGGTGTGAGTTGGTGGGGAAGTAGCCTTTCAACAGAGGATGGATTTTAACTAGTAGAACTTGGCCAGTACCTGCTTAGATGTTTGGGTTAGTTTGTGGTGTTTTACGAAGCTTCTAGTTGTGCTTTTCCTTGAGAATATTGCCAGTTTCTTGCCCAAAAGCAGCGCGCGTCTCATGTTTTGACTGAGCTGTGTCATAGAACTCAAACTGCGGCCGTTGGAGCTTGAAAGCCACAGGCCGAAGGAAGCCCTAGTCATGTGCGTTGCTTTCCTGGCTGTATTTTCCCTTCTTTAGCCATGCCTCCCTTGGTGCAGGTGCGTTTTGTAGACCCGCCCAGGTCCACTGGTTTTATGCTGAAGCTAAAGTCCGCAGCTGGCGTTGCATGCTTCTTCTGCTTGAACATAAGACCATGACTCGATGTTGAAGCCCAAATGCTCAACGGGAACCGTGGCCCTTGCCAGTTTCCGTTTGCCTCAGAAAATCTATATGCCCATCTCCAGCGTACAACATAGGAACAATGTCTTCCTCTTTTTGGGGCCCTGAGATGCTTGGAGGGAAGTAAGGCTTAGGCCAAAGTCGCCTCTCTCTCTCTCTCTCTCTATCTCTCCCTCCTGTTTTGTTGGCCCGTAAACCACAAGGTAGGATCAATCAGCAGGTTTGAATTGTCAAACAACTAGGTCCCCACTAATGCCCTTTCACCCTTTTTTGGGGGAGGCGTTCCCTACTAAAATCGACTAACCTTATTCTAACTTCTCTACTGGAGGACCTAGACAAGGACCTTTTTCTCCTCGCCGCATCCAAAATCCACAGGGATTTTGGGCGCAGGCCTGCGGCGAGTGGCGCTGCAGCTCGCCCGCCGCGCGCGGGAGCAGGAGGAGGCCAGTTGCTTTTTCGGGAATGGGTGAGTTATGGTTCATGCGATGCGGATCGGTCAAAGGGCAATCTTGCAAAGAACGTGACTTTGCATTGTATACATGTGCGTCGTGCTAAAACCCATGCTGGTTTAGGTTTAGTATTCCGAATTTCCAGGCTTTCATGGCATGAGCTTCCCACTTCGCCGAAACACTGATCGAAAACCAGTGATAACTTGTGCGTAGATTAACAATGGGCGCGGAAGGTTTGCGGAAGGGCGGCGGAAGGGCAGTTCTCAGGAGAAGTAATTTTGCACAACCCCCACATATTAGCTAGTGTATATATATATATATATACACCTAAATATACATATACGTAGCTTGTACATGATGGACAGCACCGCGGTTTTGTTCTCCTAGCGGCTCCAGGGCCTGTGTAGAGACGTGCTGATCATGCGAGTGGCTCCAAGGGCAGTCACGAGAGCTGGGACTGCTTGCGTAGAGCATTGGAGATTTGGTTCTGAAACATGACCCTGTTTGGACGGGTTGAGGTTGGGGGCGACATCGCCCCAAATCGTCCGTTGGCTAACAGATGGCACGGCTGCAGGGAGATCCGGGCCGACCTGCCGCAGCACCTGCGACATCTAGCGCCCCTCGGCACGGATGGCCCACTGAATTTCCAGGTGCGGTTTCTGGATGGAAATTTATGTACCACCAATATGGCTGTGGGTCAAAACCAATGGTAGCATTTTGGGGTAGGTGCACCGCCCATTTTAGTCTATTGTAGTGGGGATTGGGATGTTCACTAAGGGTACGGGATTTTGACCCGTGGCCAGATGCGAAAAAAAGAAAGAAGAAGCTTGCAGCATCATTCAAGAGGCTTCAACGGTCGACATACGCCAACTAGCCTCGGAGAATCCCATGGCACCGGCTCAAAGCCTTCTAATCAAAAGCAGAGCACTGGGCATTTGGTTCATGGTTAACTTTGGTATGTTCCCCAAGCCATTCAGGTTAAAGAGGCGAACCAAAGGAAATCGCCTTCCGATTCAGAAGAAACAACGTGCTCAGGGGACCCCACACGGGTTCTAATAAACGGGTTCCAGCTTGCACCAGACAATGCATGCGACAGGAACCCATAGGAGTCAACTGATGGCCTAAAGCCCAAATCCCAGAACCCCCGGACTTCGCAGGCATCCTCCGGCTGGCTTTTGGCGGCCTCAGCTCTGCTCTTTCTGGGGGCTTTGGGTGCTTGGGCACCAGCCCTGCGCTATGATTTCCAGGGCGGCCCCTTGGAACGAAAGCGAGGGAGCCGTTGCGCTTGTTTTGTATGTATTCATAATATATATATATATATATTACGGATTTGTCTAGAATTAGGGGACCCTCAAAATTGCGGTTTGTCCTTTCGGTTTGCTTTTGAAACAATCCTAGAAAGGACGCCCTCAAAACAGACAAATCGATTTGTATGCATGGTGTGTTGCCTGTTGAGGTGTGTGTGTGTGTGTGGGTGTGTGCCTGTGTGTGTGGGTGACTGTGTGTGTGTGTGCCTGGTGTTTGCATGCAGACAGGCCGGCAACCATTGGGTAAATAACCGTCACACATGTTGGCTACCGTCATGCAGTTTCAGCGATCACTACGACAAAGGCAGGAAGTAGTGCGGCTGTACCAACAGGAGGCGAGACGACAGTGTACATCAATACTGAGAAGAATGCAGGCCTGCTAGCAGACCCAAGGTTGGCGCCATTCCAAGCCATTGTTCGTTCGTTGAGGCGAGGAAAGGGGCGAGAGTTCCGTTCTGCATGAGGCCATACGATGAAACTTGCTCCAGCGAGAGACAAATGTAGTCTGAGCGGAGTCACAATATCCAGCGACTTGATGGCAATCGTTTCAAGGTTCCAAAGCTTGTGGCATATCCAGGAAGAAGGCCAAGTAATCGTCGACTCACTTGCCCTTGTTTTATTCCGTCGCAAGGATTCTTCATGGACGATGCCATGATCAAGCTTCCCGGCCGAAGAGACAGCATGTGTTACCGCAAGGCTACAAAAAGGTGCGTGCATTGCCCTATGTTAAGGGCCTTGGGAGCAGGAAAGTGATGGCCAAGGAGCATCCTTGAAACCTGTGCCACGCCCAGGAAGAACCCCAATGTCTACGAAGAGATGAACTGGCGGAGGCTCTTTCGAACGGACTACTGGGGCCTCGACATGTTCGAGGCGAGAGAAGGGTTTGCTGGTCAGTGTACTTTGTGGCCTGATAATGCCTCATGTTTGATGCATGATTCTGTAGGGCGTGGGTGGGCTTGGAGTTGTACTTGTAGCAGCTCAGCCAAGCATTTGTGTGATGAAGTCTCATGCTGTCAAGTCGAAAACATACCGCCAAAAGAAGCCGGATTCACTGGTTGGTAACAGGACAACCACATTCTTTGGAGGGTCCCCTCAAAGGAGGCACACCTATTACAGCGTAAAGCGTGATTCCAAGCGAAAGTGGCCGAAGGAAACCGTGTCCCAATGATTTTCGGCGGGCTCGGATCCATGACTAAGTATTGATGGTGGACTTCACCAATTGCGGAATTCCCTTGCCGCGTGTTTCTGGGCCACGGCATGCTTATGCAGGCACAGGTTCCAGAAAAACTTGGTACAGGCATATGAAGCAGGTGGATGGTCACGTTCATAATGGTTTGCTGGCACCGGGCAGGCTTTGCTGAGCTTGGTGGAAATAAGGGGCAGCCCCTGCTGGCCGCCACGCCAGATCTGGCTGCAATATTTGTAATCTAGCGGAAGGCTCATTTTTGAGAGCCCTTCAAATGGCGTTCCATCTAATGCTCGAGTCAATGTGGGTTTCCTGTTTGTTTCCCATTGAAAACTCACTGAGGGGTTGCCTCAAAACGAGAGGCAAACTGGCAATTGACTCGATCTACGCGAGGGCGTTTGGACGCACAAGTCCTTCCGGCCGCTGGCGGTGCTGACCTTCCACTGGAATCATTTGCTGAGCGGGTTCGAAGGCCGGGATGGTAGACTTCCTATCTGTGGGAAAGAAACAAACTATGGAGCCAACATCAACCTATGTTGCATTTCTATTGATTATTGGACGGTTGGAGATTGAGCACTTATTGCATCTTACTCGCATTATGGCGCTGTCGGGATCACGTCCAGTTCCAAGTCCAAACTCTGGGACTTTCCCAGCTACGCCAAAACACCTTGTTCCCTTTCGATGTCCTAAGGCAAGGCCCTGACAAGAGATACGGTCCACAACTGTAGAGCGACTGAACAGGCAAACCTGAGTTGACTGGGCGTTTGCTGGAGTGTGACCTCATGTGTTTTTTTTTGGGGGGGTGCGGGGGAGGACTCTGAGCGAGATAAACCTCGGAAACAGCCTGCTTGACCTTGCTGCCCTGCCGATGGCTGTGAGCGTTGAGTATCTCCTTGGAGTGAGCAACACCTTGGTATCGTGATCCTCTCGTCCCAGCGAGCACCCATGACTCCACTTGTTATCATGATCGAATGATGGTACGATAGTGTTCTCACGGTCCCACACGGTCCCATGTGCTCCCTTGGCTGTTTGTACATTGCATAAGTTGTTTTTGTACAATGAGCCCGTCACGTGTTTGTTTGGCACAATGACCTTGATCGGACCAGGTGCTTGCATCCGAAAACATGCAGCTGTCATTGCAAGACTGTCAATGTGACATGGACGCAGCTTCCTGCGCCATTTTCTTGATTTGGACCTGAGAAAGAAACACACATTTCTGCTTATGATTCCCATACAGTACCTTTTGCCCGGTGATAAGGACTGTGCAAACGGTGGTGCACATAGCATAAATCATACGTGCCCTTCGCCTTTGTGAGAAAGCCCGCTTTGCCATGAGACAGGCTCAGGCTTCCACATCGTCAATGTGTTGCTGAATGTCGTGGCTCGGACATAGACAGCGGAGGGTTCTGTGGACGACGGGAGGGTCAGTTTTGAGATCAGCGACCACGAAACCTTACAATGAGTCTGAAAGGTCTCGGCTCTGAGCAAGCTTTTCGCGATGGGACCGGTACCCAAAATGGCACCCTAAGTGGAAACATGGACCAAAACCTAAGTAACCCCAGCTGTTTAATTTGGAGCCATACCCATGTTGCCCCAGGTGTTGCTTCCCAAGGCCTGCGCTGCACTTCTGGCGCTCTTCGGTTGGTTTCTGGGCCTGGGCCGGGACAAGGCGGCGCTGCTGGCAGGGCTTTTCCTGGCGCACCCCGTTCACACGGAGAGCGCGCCCCGGTTACACCGCGATGAAGTGTTTGTCGCCTGTTGTGAGCTGAAAATGGAATCAGAATGGAGGTAAGAACTGTGTTTTTTGATGTTGGCGTCTTCAGTCGGGATGTGTCCATGAGTTGCAGCATCGAAGTGAAAGAAAGTGCGTTGCACAGGAGGTCATGTATTATGTTAATTATGTTGATTATGTTTGGAGGCTTTGCCTTTGCCATCACAAGGTGAGGTCTTTCGTTGAACCAGCCAGTCAGTCAGTCGCAGCCTAGCCCGGGGCGCATACCTCCAGCAGTGCTTTGCAATGCGACATGCTCCGGCAGAAGTTGATGTTGTTTGCCGCAAACAGGTTTCTGCTGCAGCCTTTGAGTATTTTGGTGCTTTTGGGTTGAGACCAGATGGTCTGTGGTCATCCGTGTTCAGCATGTAACTCAAAGGACCCTGCTTCAAAGACCTTCGGCAAGAGTTGGCTGTTGGCAACTACGGAGAGGAGCACTCATTTGCCCTTGCTGCTTTCAGCTCAACCAAAGTTGGCAACTTGAAGCAGCACTGCCTTTTTTTGCCGTCCGGAACATTTGGAATCCCAATTTCCGCTTACCTGGTATCCAACAACAACAAATAAATGGGAAATAAAGTACTGGCAGCCACCCCAAGGTCAGAATCTAAGTGCGGTGTGTTTGTTTTTCTCCATTGAGCTCTCCCAGGTGCTGTACATTGTCGGTCGCGCCGACCTCCTGTGTTTGGTGCTGGTGCTTCTGGCTGCGCTGGTGTACACACCCTGTGTGAAGGCCTGGAGCCTCATTTCAAAGCCCCACAGCGGGGCAAAGGGGGCTATTTTCCCAAATGGGTATGGCTCAAAATTAACCAGGAGGGTTACTAGGTTTTGGTCCATGTTTCCACTTACCAGGGTTCCATTTTGGTACCGGTTTTTTGAGCCACAGCCAAATGGACCTGTGAAAATGGTATGATTGGTATGGTTTGCCATCGCCTTTGCCTTTCACCAAAAGGACGTCCCCAACTTTCGGAGCCGCCCCGGCCGGTTTTGCAGCACATGTGTGTCACAGCGTGCAGTTGAATTGCGGCTCTGTTCCTCCTGAATTGGCTGTCCCTTCTGATCCACAAAGCCCGGAGCATTGCGGCAGCGATCGCGGTGCGGCATGCGGGCTCTTTCAAATGATCCCAAACCTGGCTCTTGTTGGTGGCGGATGGGTTGGGGAGACTTGGCGAATAAAGCGAAAAAGCGCGGCTTTTGGGGTGCCCTAGTTTTACACCCACCCCAATGGTCTTTTCGCGAGGGTGGGAGAGGTGTTTGTTGTGGCATCCTTCAGTGGCACTTGGAGATGGTGAAATCCGGTGAAGACTATCCTGATTTTGGATGATTAGTGGCCTGATTCTGAGGCGTGCAATGTTGTTGAAAGTGGAAGGCAATAAGCCCTCATGTGGGAGCAGATGGAATGTCAGCCGCAACAAGTCAAGCCAGCTGCGGTAAGCGTTTGGGACGGACATTTGGCATCCTTGAATGGCCAACACTCCATTGTGTTCATGTGAGTCGAATGGCGGCTTATTCTGTTCGTACACTGGCTTTGCCTTGTCTGGCGTTGCTTGTTGCAGTCATATTGCTTGTGTGTATGTGTGTGTGTGTGTCATGTATGAAACAACCATTGTGAAGTTGCAGCGTGTGGCTGTGATATCAAGAGACCCATCAGCTTTGCGTTGCTTCGGCAGAAGCAGCGTAAACAAGCAGAGCACTCTATCAAGTAACAAAGGTTGCCCTAGCTGATTTCAAAGTGAGCGTATGCTTGTTGGTCCAGTGAACACTGATAGAACCATGGCAATGAGGCAAATTGACGGCCAATTGACCACGTCCATGGAGAACCGACTCGCAGCCGACACACAGTTGCACAGTGTGTACTTCCACCTTTTGTCTGAAAAAGTGCCACATGGCTTGCCCCTTGGTTTGGGATGTTTTCCTTCAGGAGTTGGGCCCTTCAGCAAGCGCTTGGCCACTGCTGCCGCTGTCCACGGTGCTTTTGGTGGCAGCGGGCCTTTGCAAAGAAACGGGCCGCTGGGTCCAGGGTTCCATTCCTGGTGTTTGCAGAAATACTAGATCACGGTGTGTGTCTATGGGACACAGACTTGCCCCCTTGGGTTTGCATGTCCCTGGGCCACAATCCTGTTGCGCCACCTGAACAATACTTTACGGATCTTTATCCTTGAGGCATTTGCTGTGCACTGGCACTGTTTGTGGATGCTTCCAGTGAAGACTCCGGGTTTGTAAACAAAGAGGAGCCACTGCGCGCTTGGACGTCGGGCATCATTTGTGTTTGCGATAAGTCTGTATTGAGGCACTGCATGTGTCCTTGCTAGATCATGGAAGACTAAGAGCCTTTGAGTCTCGCACGTGACATGGGTATTTGCACCAATCAGAGTTGCCAAGGTTGTTAGTGAGTGCCGCGAGGCTCTGCTTCTTTAGAGCAGTTAATGAACGACGGCAACTCAGCAGAAATATCAGATGTCTCGTATGGGCGTATGGCAATGCCCGAGAGGTCACTTTTCGGGCTCCAGCAAAAGCCTCGCCGAGGCTTTTGCTTCTTCGGGCTGTTAGCTGGCTGGGAGATCCTGGGAGGCATGGGTTGGTCGGGCTTTCTGGGTGGAGGGGGTGGAGGTTATGACTATAGCCCGGAAGAAAGATTCTCATTGAGCGAATTTTGGAGCCCCTTCTCTAGACTTTTTTTGCCACCGGGCCAAGAGGAGTGCAAGGCAACACGGGAGAACAACGAGACATGCCTCGTTTTTTGTTTTTTTGGTCAGGTGTGCAATGGCTTTGAACTTGCTTCGCTATTTCCTGTATTTGCCCAGGGGTGAATACCGGCATGTTTGAACTAGCATGTTGGGGTGCGCCCAAAGGCGGAGTATGAAGGACGTCTTCGCTTCATTTCAAGATGCTCCTGGGGTAGGATGGGCCTGCAGTTGGTCATGACAATAAGAAATTCTGAGCCTAACAGCCCTTAGAGTCGGACTTCATTGATCGTGTCTTTGTTTCGCATTTTTATGCATTTTTAGTTGTTAATACCATGGATGGGCGAAATCCCACACCACATGAGAAACGCTGGAATGACTTCTCTGCAAATGCCAACAAGTAGCCAAAAACAGGCAGGGGACGCTCTCTAAGTTTCCAACGTCCAGCTTAGCACATTTGACCCCGGCTCGTGTATTGAGGCCATCCTTCCGGAGTTGCCCGGTTTCATGGGGGGCCGGCAAAAAGGGAGGGGAGGGGGGAGCCCCCAAAGACCCTTGAGCCCTTAAGCCCTTATTCAGGGCATGAGAAGGGCTCCCTCCCCCTCCCTCCCCCCAGCCCCGGGTGTAGCCCGGTGAGGCCTGCTGCAGGGCGCCAGCTTCAAGCGCTGGGCGCGGCTGCTGGCGCTGCTGGCGCTGGGGAGTTCGGCCTGCGGCGCGCGGGTCTACTACACAGGCGTCACCGTAGACTGAGGATACATTTGGCAGTGGGTCCATAGGGGAACCCTAAAATGGCTTGCCCTGGTAAGTGGAAACATGGACCAAAACTTAGGTAACCCCAGTGGTTTAATCTTGACCCATTTTACATTTTGCCAGTGACTCACTGTGAAACAAACAATGAAATATACATTCTATAGCTGGGCCTAAGTCTAATCATGGTGTGGTGCTGGGAAGCTGTCCAGGTCCGGAGGAAGCCAAGACAATCCCCAGTTTGAGACGCACCAGTTGGCCAACATTCGGCCATTTGTCTGTTGGCGCGTGGATGCGTCTTGCACAAACTGTACGGAAAGGCTGGGGATTCCCAGACGTCAACTTCAATATGCAAGGCTTGTTGCATGCGGAACATCAAGTTGCAATCGCTTGGCGGATTGTCAAAGGGAGGGCCTTCAAGTTCCGCGAATATACAACCAGCGTTCCATAGAGGGACTGTTTTACAGCTTCCCACTTGTCCAAACTGAAGCAGTCAACTCGTTCTGTTGGTGAAGAAGCAAAACTTCCATGACGAGGATCCTCGTTCTGAAATGCCTTAGGTTTGTGAGCAGGTGTAGTTCGACACAGCAAGAAGCAGACCACTCGAATCTGCAGAGCAGCTAGCATTGCTCCCGGCTCTGATTCCAGGATCCTCTCGTTCGCTTCGGGTGCGGGTTGCTGGCTCGGTCGAGCCAAGTTTCGACCGAATCGATTAGATTTGTCAGCACGCTAGGAGGCACAGCCATTGACAACATGGACCCCCACAGCAACCCTGTGGCAGCTTGGCCAAGATTCAGGACGTGCAGTGACGGAAGTGGTTGTTTGCCTGACAAAGGTGGAGTGCTGGATTCCCCGTGTTGTAAGCCGCTACTTCTCTGCCCGCACCTCGGAGCCCAACCCGACCATCGACGGATGATAGCCTTCAGCCGATAAGGGTTTGAAGCGCCTAGACACCAAAACCTCGAAACTGCCCCTGTGCGAACCTTGCTATAGCCTTGGCCATCATGCGTTAAACCGTGTCCTCCACATATTGTCGTTCAACAGCAAGTTGTGGGCTGAACAAGCTACCGCTCCATGCACTGTTTGCCTTTTTAGCACCCTGAGACGTGGACAGTAGGCCTTGCCAGGCAGTGCATCAAGACCGCAACGTGCGGCTGCGCAGCTACGCCTTGCTGCACGGGATCTACATGAAGTTGCTGGTCTTCCCCAAGTTTCTCAGCGGCTGGGTGCATTCAAAGAAATGCAGCAAAACGCAGTGTACGCACAGGCTCCTGCAAGAAATGAACCGTTTCAACACGAGCAAACAGGGCAGCTCCTTGCTGATTGTCCGGCTGTTCATCATCTCAAAGGTGATACTCCTGTGACAATTTGTCAAACTGGGAATGCGAGGCTCACAACATTCAGTCACTCCAAGCTTGGTCGCGCGCTTGTTTGACATTAAGCGACGTCAAAGCCATTGGCTGTTTCGCATCAGGCTATCATCTAAAGATGTAAATGCGCACCACCGTGTTCCTAATCCCTTTGTGTTGGCTTTTACCCTTTGGTTTTCTAGCATCAATTGTATGAGCCCTGAATTCCAGAGTCAGGTTCGTCCCTTCAAAAGGGACAAGTGCAAGCCAATTCTTTCGGTCCGGTGCCCCTTAACTGTTCAGATTGCCTTTAGAAGCCGGGGGCTTCTGAAAGCGACTGCCAGGCTACGACTACTCCTTCAATGCCATTCCTTTGGTCCAGACCTTCGCAGACTTGAGGCTCCTGCTACCTTTGGCTGCGTATTTGGGCTTTTCTGCGCTGCTGCTTCTCTCCCTTTCAGCGGCTAGGCGCAGAAGAGGGAGCTGCACTTCAGATGTTTGGTTTCTTCGGCTTGGGTCTGGGTGTGATGGGTGTCAGGGATGTGGCGGTGTTTGCAACCATGCTTGAGGCTTTTGGCGAGCCCGTGCCCACAAAGCAATTGTTGAGTTGCCAAGCACGCAAAAAGCTGCTGGCACGGACTCCCAGTCCTTTGATGTGATTTTGTGCCCTAGCCGAGGGCGAGGCCTCCAGTGAGTGCCTGAGAACTCTGAGGTACTTCGGAAAACGGAGGCGCCCATCATAGGAGTGGCCATCCTTATCCTGAGCTTTGTGCCAATGCCGCATGGCATGCGCATGGACGTGGCTCTCAACAGCTGTACAATGTCTACCCGCAAACCGATTTCTTCGTTGTTGTTTACACACGCGCACGCTGAGACGCGCACACGCCCACACATTCACACACCCACCACCCACCCACCCGCCCCCACACCCGCCCGCCCCCGCCCACCCGCCCGCCCGCCCACATACACCCACCCACACATCACCGACCCGCCCACATACACCCACCCACCCGCCCACATACACCCACCCACCCGCCCACATACACCCACCCACCCACCCTCCCACATACACCACCGACCCGCCCACATACGCCCACTTACCCACACCCACACCCACGCCTACACCCACACCCATTGTTGCATCCCCACGGCGCTTATTTGGTAGTCAGTGACAATCTTGCATGAGGTGAGGAGCTGATGAAGTGGATGTAGCAAAACATAGCCAAGGCTGACTTGCCTCAGTCTCAAGTTGCACAGGGCAGAGAGCGAACCGCCAAGTAAGTAGGGAAGCAGACAGGTTGTGATACGCTTGGACGACAAGGCATCAACTTGAGAGCTTTTGCTTCTTGAATTCTCAGATCATGGGTCTGGGTGGGCATGTCAACGGTCTCACCTCACACTCACTGTTTGGCATCCCGCAAGCCGCGAGCCTTTGTCCTCAGGTCAAACATCCTCTTTCCGGTGGGCACCATGATCGGCGAGCGTTTGCTGTACATCCCCTCAGCAGGCCACGTGTGAGTGAAACTGCTGCGGACCTTTGAGCACAAGGACGCATCTTTTGGTTGTACCCAGAACAACCATGTCAGGCAAGATGCCACTGACAAAAGTGTGGTTTCCTTTGGTTTCTCTTTAAAACCACCGCAAAAAAGGTTCCCTCACAAAAGGCAAACTCAACAGTTCTGAAAACCCAAGCCTATTGGTTTTGGACCTTGAAGCACCCCACACTTGAGCCCTGGGCACCTCCGGCCCTGCCTCTGAGGTCTGCTGCTGTCTGTGGTCGCGCTGGTGCCCCGAGGCAGGTGTGCCTGGCTGCTAGTGGTCGGCGCTCTGTTTGTGGCGAAAACCTGGATGCGCGTGCCGGCGGCCTGACTTGAGTGGGGAAGGGGGGCCTTGGTATCCGTACGGCCTGTTTCAACGCTTTTAAGTTTTGATTGGGTGTTGCGCGTCGGCAAAGAGGTCAAACACACAGATATATATACATATATATATATATATATGTGTGTATGTATATATATATATATACACATGTATACACACGTTCCATGCGTTGGTTTCGGCCGGGCGTGCAGCTTGGGAACGGATGTCTTCTTGTCTGCAGCCCTAGCAGAGCCACCAGCCAGGAGTGATCAATCTGCCACCATCATTGCCAGCAGCGTCGCCAAAGTATGTTTAACATCAACATTACTATCGGCTACATCAAGCGAGGAACAACACGTCAGCCTGTCTCAACCACTGTAGACTTCCTAGCCCTGAATGACCAAAAGACAGTCCAAGCAGACCACGCTGAACGATGTGTAAGGAGTGGAAGGACTCAGAGAGCATCACAACCGCTGATGGCCTGACACAGCTTTGGTCCGCGCTTTGGCTGCACGCAACGAGGGCATGTCGCCGCAGATTTTGGAGGGCATCATCTTGTTTGAGTGTGTTCCGTAGGTGCCAGGGTGAAAACTGGGGGGCCGGAACTTCTTGAGGTATGGTGGCCTGAGCATTGCAATCTGTCAACAGTGGGTTACATTGACCTGTGCAGTCTCATGTTCCCCACGCAACGACCTTTCCGAAGAAAACACACGCTTGCTCACTGTTAGTGGGTCGGGGGTCCAACCTCTATGATCCTTTCAGTTTGCCTCATAGGAATGCAATACAACCACATGGTACGTACGTGAAATCCGGCCGAGCTCAATGCAATCAAGGGATGACAAGTAGGCACTCATCGGATAAATGTGTTGTGCTATCTGTTTTTGAGATATGCGTTTGTGGAGCATCTCGCAGCTGCGCCATGGCCCACGTGTTTGACCTTCACACATTTATGGTTGGTTCCAGTTAAAGTATCCTATCTTGACAGAAGCATGCTGGATCCCCACACCAGGCTTTTGCTTATTGAGTGGACAGTTGTATTCGAGCGCACTTGGTCTTATATCATCCAATAGTTGTTCAGCCAAATTCTGGTGCTCTCTGACATGGTATGCATAGGTTGCATGGGTTGCATGGGTTGCATGGCATGCATGGCAGCAAGGCGCGTGTACAGTTCAACCTTGCCAACGTCTACCTGCAGGCGAGCCTGGGCTGGCACTGCACGTTCGCTGTTTGGCGCAAAGATGCCTGTCTGTCTGACAGCGTCCTGGGTTTGGTTTTGGGTGTCCAGAAAGACGTTGCCTGAAATGTTAGCCCTGAATCCTACTGAAATTAGCAGATGCCACTTGGTTTGTCTTGTTCAGCTTCAGGCGGGATGCCATCCAACTGGCGAGGTTCCCTGGAATGTAAGCCGCACAAGTTGTTCTCAACAGGCTATGCCTCCCCGAGGGCACTGCCTGGCTTGGGGCTACGCTGAATTTGTTGCTGGCCAAAGCTTCGCAGGCTATTGGGGAAGGCACCTTGTTGAGAAGGAGAAAAAGAGAGAGAGAGAGAGAAGAAAAAAGGCAAGAGAGAGAGAGAGCTCCAGATCATAAGCAACATGTTTACAACACCAATCCAGATCCCTTCCAAGAGTTGCTGCATTACTTATTTATAGCGAGCATCATAATAGAACCGTGCATAGACCTGCACACAGCTCGCGTGCAGGCTGGGTACATTCCAGAGAGTGCACCCCAAGGGTCAATTTTACGGACTTTTACAGGAAACACCACCATCCCGAAAAGACATATATATATATATATGTACAGACTATATAGATAGATAGATAGATAGATGGATAGATATCAGTCTTCTTAGACTCCGCGCCTTGTGATGGTTTAGATTCGCTGTTTTGCCTCGTCAAATGCTCATCAGGCGAAGCGCTACGACGAGGCGCTGGACACCTACCAGCGGTCTATCCGCATAGATCCCACGGCTGCTTGTCCGGGCGAGTACAACAGTACTGTCCAACAATTACGCTTTGTCAACTTGGCTTCATCTTCGGAGCTGATCCTTTCTTCGTGTTGTCACGGGTGGATGTGATTACTGAGGGGCAGTTTGACCGTGGGCACCGAGGATCACGATGCCCTGCCCTTGTACCACGCCGGGCAGATCCTGTTCTTCAAAGGCCAGCACGACGAGGCCAACCGATACCTGGAGAAGGCGCGCGCCGACGGGTTTGCGGTGGCTTCGCGGTTGGTATCAAAAGAGCGGCTGGCCGCTTAGACACTTGGTGGCTCCCAGCGATCCCCTTAGCTTTTTAGCTTGTTAGGGTTTAGTGGGAATCACCCACAAAAAGTTAAACCTTTAGGGTGACAAACTGAAGTGTGCATCCCAGGTCTGCAGTGTCACAGCTTAGCATCCCTCAGCGGAAGGCTTAGGGAGCTCTGCTTCAAAGGGGCTGCGGGCTTTGTACCAGCTTGCTGGCAGCGGTTGGCTTGCAGACATGCACGCAGCCGGCAAGCAACAGAGAATGCTGTCCAGTGGTTGCACGAACTATGCGCCCTTGAATTTGTTGTGTTTGTTTTCGAAGTTCTGAGCCGGCCATTCCCCTGCGCTGCCAGACGGCCGCAGGCAGTCAATGGCTTCTTCAGCCCACTGACGATTCAGGCCCGGGGTGGGCACGGTTGCGACCTCTCGCAAGCACCTGACAGCCACGGAGACCCAAACTTGACGAACCATGCGAACGAGGATGCTCCATCCCTGCAATCCATGCTGTTTAAGATGTCTGAGCAGGCGTAGGCTGTGTTGTGACTGAGCTTTATTTAGTAAAAATTGGCATTAGTGTGCGCAACATCAAGGACAAAGAGGTTTGAACCCGGTCTGAACTCAAGCTGCAGGAAGTCTTGGAACCTTCGAAAGGGGGGGAAACATGGTCGGGGTTTACTTTGGCAGGGCAGCTGTTTTGAGCTTGGACTGACTGCTCTCAGATGTCCTTAGCTTGAGCACCGGAGCCCTCCGGCGCCCTCCGGCGCCCTCCGCAAGGAGGAGGAGATTTGGCACGACTATGCGCTGTCGCTTTGGTTCGTGCAGAAGCCGCGCCAGGGCCGATTTGGAGTAGATGGCTGAAATAAAGGCAGAGCCTTGGACAATCAGATTCCAAGAGTCTTAGCTGTCAATCCCTTTCTTCCCTTTGGGTAAGCTGGGTCAAATTTTAGGTCATGCCCAGGCCAAGCTGCTGGATCAGGCTAACAGGTTGGGCATGTTCTTTGCGATGGCTCACGGTTGGGGCCACGGAAGCCATGTGCGGCGATATGGCTGTGGGTCAAAAATGGGTACCCAAAAATGGAACCCTGGTAAATGGAAACATGGACTAACACCTGCTGGCCCCAAACCCCTGGTGGTTTTCTTTTTTGACCCATATCTATATGGCTGATGCGTCGATCCTTGCCAGATTTCGCCGAGGCAAGCTTCCGTGGCGCACTTCCAGAAGGCGCTGAGCATCAACCCTAGCTTCACCAAGGCTGGGCTGCCGGGCAGGCGCAGAGGGAAAGCAAGGAGAAGGTAGGCAGGCGTTGTTTGGCACCGGCACGTTGGATTTGAGATCCTTTTTTTTCAAGAACAGCTCTTGCAGATGAAAAACAAACTTATGGACACATGTGCAGGAATACTTCCAGGAGAATTGTGCTAAGAAACCTCCAGTGTCGGGATGCTCTTCCGATGGTTTCTTTGCCCATCCATCGCGCAGGCCATGAACAACATGGCCTGTGCTGCCGGCCTCGGGGCCATTGGCGGGTTGCTGCCACGGGAGTACTACCAACACGCCATCAACGCCCTGGACCAGGTGAGATGGCGTGGGGCCAGTGAGATTTTTATCACAAGGCATTTACCCCAAGCTCTTGATGCACTTGCAGCAGGGTGGCTTGAGCAAGGGTTTTACAATTTTCCAGCATGTTGACTTGGTTTGGCCAGTTGGTTGCAGGGCCAGCCCCACAAGCCGCTGTGCAAAGAACTCATGCAGTCGCCTATCTCACTACTTTCCGCATGGTCCATGTGTCCTGCCCACGCATTCTAATGGCCCCGTCATTTGATGAATTTGCCGATGTTTGCGGAATTCTTTCACGAAGCAATTCAGCGCATTTGCGATCCAAAGTTCCTGCCGTTGTGCATTTCAGGTGATTTCTACTGAAACATGGTGATATCTAGGTTGGTAGTTTGCCACTCCTGCCATCACTTTGTGGCAAATCCGATGCTGCTTGTATCCATTCACGTTTAACGCCACACATGCTTTGCCGCGAAACACATGAAATGTGGGATGAGAGCTGATGGAGGCAATCCGTTTCCATTACCTGATCAAGCAGCCATGTTAGGCTCGGTTGGGCCTTGAAGCCGGCCTTGACAGGCGGTGCGAATTGATCCCGGCAACGTGCTGTACTGGCGGAACGCGGTGGCGCTGATGATGGCAGGTGAGAGGGGCGGCTTTGCAGACGTCAAGCTCCGAGCGATTCGAAGTGGCCCATCCCTTGACCCCGAATAAACTACACATGGCGGAAACTTGATCCCCGCAAAGCAGCCCAAAGGTAGCAAGCGACTGACCACCGAAGGCAGGCATCCCAAACAGGCTAGACTCTGAATGCTTCACCTTGCTGGACTGGCAACACCACGTGTGTTGCTTTCTAGGCCGTTGTTTTCTTTGTAGGGGTGAAGAAGGACGTCTTTGAACCTGCGTTTGGGTGCGCGGAGTGGATTGGGAAATTGCTTGCTTCTCCACTGCGGTGTCAATGGCCAGGTGGCGACGGGCAGCGTGCGGAAGCCACCTGGCAGCAGCTGCTGCAGATGGATCCCGCCGGCGCCACCAACCCGTGGCTCGGTGGCATGAGGTGCTGGTGGTCACCAGAATCCTGATTTTGAGAGGCACTCTTCACCAGTCCAGACCAGCTGCATAAACGAAACTCAATTTTGTGGTAGCATGTGATTGCACACGGAAATGACCCTGATAAGTTTCAATGCGTGGAGCCGGAGGGATTTGCCCCCACGTTGGTGTGTGCTGTGCAGATGTCAGGTGTCCTTCTATAGCTTGCTTGGGCTGACAGAAACTCTGGCACTGGATCATGTCAACAGACTCCTTGGCTTGTTTGTGGGACCTAAGTGAATCCTGTTGGGACCCCAAAAGGTCCTGAGTGTCGCTTGCGTGACAGGGAGGTTTGACAACACTGTTTCATGAGCCATGAGATACAATGTTCCAAGCGTTGCCCTTATTTGGCCGGTGCCCAGTCAAGTGCACCGTTGCCACTGTTGTCTGGCATGATAGATCACACACCTGCGCTCTGCACCCAAGATGACTTGCCACAAGGCCGCGCGACTGCAGCTGGGAGTTCTATTTCAGGTAGAAAAAGGCAGCTCTGGAAGAGAAGGCTTGCATGGAGTGGTGCCCAATCGCCTTGCTCGCTGGTGAAGACAGCCTTGTGGCTTGGTACTCAAGAAGTTGCGGTCCGCACCCACGGCGCCTGTGTAACAAGTTGTAAGAGCCAAGGGTCGTTACCTGGGGGCTCCTTTGGGCCCAAGGCTTTCATTTTCAGCATGGCTGGCCAGGCAAGTTGGGCCTTAGTGGCACCTCAAGGCAACAGATGCCGTGGACGCGCGCCGGTGGGTGAAGGCTCAGTCAGGAGACGTAGTGGCAATCCCGTTCCTGATGGGTCGATGCTCGGCTGATTTCAGAGACTTGCACTTGGCAGTTGTTGAGACGCATCGGTTGCCCGAGCTGTAGATATCGACCCTCTTTGGCTCGCAAATTTGGCGCCCTGTTTATTCTGTCTGTGGAGAATCCGGCTCAGCCCAGGTTCGTCTGACAACACATCTTCATAGCATCCCAGGCGTGGAATGCTGAGCCCAGCCCAAAGTCACTTAGCCGAAAAATGTAAGCCAACAAACAGACTCGTCCAACTTCGCAGCTTCGACCAATCGGTTCGCTCGAGGTGTTGCATCGCACGGCACTCTCGGATCACAGCATTGCAGGTCATGCAGGTTGCCTTCTTCCTGGCATTCCTTGGCCTTGGCCTGGCCGAACGGCATGTGGCTTGGATCTGATTGGCGCCACGATCTCTGCGCGTGGCTTTGCCTCCTTAGAATAGTTAGCACCAAAAGGAAGGTGCAATCTCGGGCGGACAGTGGGAACCGGCACCAAAGGTTTCCACGTTGAGCAGGAGGCTTGAGCCATGTATTCCAGACAGCTGCTGTTGGGCTTCACAAACCCGCATGTGAGGTGTCGCTCCACAGGCTGGATCAGGCTCGAGGGGATTGCCTCAAAGAGATGAATTAATTAATCAGACAAAGGTAGGTTGAGATCGTTCCTAACTCGGATTCGTACTTTTGAGCTAAGCATTGATAGCACTGGCCGGGCGATGTGTGTAACATCCTGACATGTTCAACCTCTTCGCGTGAAAACCAGGGTTTGCTCGGATTTTCCATCAGGATTCGTATATCCCATGAATGTGCAGAGCCTTCCCCACACCTTTGTTTCAGTGCCGTGGTTACGAAATGCATCCTCAGGACTGTTGCGGTCTAGGGTCATACAACTCTTTGGTCATCTCAGCGGCTTGTGCCTTCTATGGGGCGGTCGGGCGGAGAGCAGGCGAGTAGCTCGAGTTACTCGAGTTGGGAGCAGTCTGTGTGCAGCATGTTTGGTGTCGCGGAGCTCACTGCTCGCCTCATCCGAATCTCGCAGGCCGCCGGCTTTGTTGGGGCGCTGAAGCCTCCAGCGGAAGGCGCGCAGGGAGAGAGCTGAAGGAACGACCACAGGATGCTCACGAGGATGGAGCACTAATTACCTGTACTGAAAGTAGGACTTAGGCAGACAAAGACTTGCAAGGCGACAACGCTTGCCTGGCTGGAATTCACTTGGAAGAGATTGAGTAAAATCATGAACAAAGCTATAAATCGGAGTTTCAGGGTTGAACGTTGACAAAGTCGTCGTTGTGCTTTTTGGTTTTACATTCGGGGACGGATCCGAGGTTGCACGGGCAGGTGGGGAGGGAAGCTGCCGACAGGCGAGAGCGAGGCGAAGGGCCGCAAGAGCGCCTTCCTGCAGGCCAAAGCGCCGCGGATGTCTTCCGAACGGTTCTTTGAAGCAAGCTTGGTTCACTTGGTTCGCGCGGTTGCTTGGTTGGTCGGTCGGTCGGTCGGTTTGTTTGTTTGTTTTTTTGTTTTGTTTGTTTGCTTGATTGTTTTTTGTGTTTTTTTTTGTCTGTCTGTTTGTTTGTTTGTTTGTTTGTTTGTTTGTTTGTTGGTTGGTTGGTTGGTTTGTTTGATTGGTTGTTCCCCAGATAGCTGAAAGCTATAGGGGTTCTAACTTCTAATAAAGAAGGGAAAGTGATTTGCGAGATTGAGGGCCGGGTGCTGGGGGGCATGCAGTTTGGGGTGCTGGTGGAGGTGCTGTTTTGCGAGCTTGACGGCCAGGTGCTAGGGGGCATGCAGTTTGGAGTGCTGGTGGAGGTGCCGCTTTGCGAGATTGACGGCCTGGTGCTAGGGGGCATGCAGTTTGAGGCATTGGTGGAGGTGCTGTTCTGCGAGATTGACGGCCGGGTGCTAGGGGTCATGTAGTTTCGGGTGCTGGTGGAGGTGCCGCTTTGCGAGATTGACAGCCGGGTGCTAGGGGGCATGTAATTTGGGGTGCTAGTGGAGGTGCTGTTTCGCGAGCTTGATGGCCGGGTGGTAGTGGGCGTGCAGTTTGGGGTGCTGTTTGAGGTGCTGGTGATGGCGCAGGCGCATTCTTGCAAGATTGATGCCCGCATGCAGTTTGGGGAGCTGATGCAGCTGTTTTGGGGTGTTGTTTGAGGTGCTGCTGACGTTGTGGGCGCAATTTTCGGACATTACCGGCGGGTGGGTTGCTGTTGGAGGTGCTGCTGACTGCGTGGGCGCTTATTTCCCAGAAGGGGGGTGCGGTTTTGGGGTGCTGTTCGGTTGAGGTGCTGGTGACAGTACGTGGCGGCAGGGTGCTTGGGGACGTGTCCGGTGCTGGCGCGTGTGCTGCGTTGGGGTGCTGTTGGGGCTGCTGTTTTGGGGTGTTGGTGACGGTGCGGGCGCATATGGATGGCAGGGTGGTAGGGCGGGTGCTGTTTGGGGTATCGTGGTTGTCGCATCATCATGATGCTGGCCGCAGCATCATGTTGCTGGCAGCTGGCGTGTCATCATGATGTTGTCAACCGCGTCATGATGCTGCTGATGCTGAATTTCATTACACTGTCGCAAGATGATTCGTGGCTGTGGTATCATCATGATGCTGCTTTTACCATCAGCATGATGCTGTGAGCATCATCATGATGCTGTCCGCATCATCATGATGCTGTCGAACTCATCAGGACGTCGTCTCTGCCTTTTTTCTGCTAGATATGTAGCGTGGAATCGCTTGTGGCTGGTGTATCAGCATCATCCTGTCAACGCTGAACTCACTAGGACGTTGTCCGCGCGTCTATCTAGCGCACTATGCTGAGTAGCTGTGGTATCCTCATGATGCTGTCAACATCATCAAGATGTTGTCAACATCAGCATGATGCCGCCGGAACCATTGTGATGCTGCGCCATGGTTCGTAGCCGTAGTGTGCTATCTGGGGTCTATGCTGGTGTATTTTTTGTTTGTTTGTTGGTTTGGTTGGTTTGCTTATTTGTTTCTTATGTGATTGGTTGTTTTATTTGTTTGCTTGTTCACCTGTCCATGTGTTTGCTTGTTTGTGTGATTGTGTGGCTGTGTGTTTGTTCCGTCGTTGGTTTGTTGGTTGATTGGGATGGCTGGCTGATTTGGTTTTGTTGCTTGCTTGATATGGTTGGTTCTTTTGGCGGTGTGTTTGGTTTGCTTGCTTTGTTTGTTTCTTGGATTGCTGCGATTCTTTGTTGAATAGTATTGGTTGGCGGATGTGATTAGGTTTGGGTAGGTGAAATCGACGGAGCGGTCGGTTGGTTGGTCGGCTGGTCGGCTGCTTAGTTGCTTAGTTGGCTATTGGCAAGCTTTTATTTTGTTGGTTGGTTGGCTGGCTGGTGAGTCGGTCGGTCGGTCAGTTGAATAGTTGGTTGGTTTTATGTGCTTGCCTGCCTCCTGCCTGCCTGTTTGTTTGCCTGCCTGTCTGTTTGTCTGTTTGTCGGTCTGTTTGACTGTTTGACTCTCTCTGGCTGTCTGACTGACTGACTGACTGACTGTCTGTCTGTCTGTCTGTCTGTCTGTCTGTCCGTCCGTCCGTCCGTCTGTTTCTGTGGTTCTTTGTTTCTTCATTGCTGCTTGGTTGCTTGGTTGGACTGGTGGTAGGGTGGTTGGCTACTTGGTTGCACGGTTGCTTGCTTGACTGCTTGGTTGTACGCGGTTGCTTGCTTGATTGCTTGGTTGCACGGTTGATTGCTTGATTTCTTGATTGCCTGGTTTACTTGCTTGGTTGGTTGGTTGGTTTGGTGGGTGGGTTGGTGGGTTGGTCGGTCGGTCGATTGGTTGGTTGGCTGTGGTGTTGACATGTTAAGCATCATGGAGAATCGCATGAGAGTTGTCCGACAGGTCCGTCCAGGTATGACGGGGTTTAGACCTTTTTGTCTTACAGTTGCCCTCAGCGAAAGAATTGCGATGGAGGTTGCGAAAGTTAGTTTGGTTTGTCTCGCGAAAGTTTTGTGAAAGGTTGGAGCCATGTGCATTTGCCGGCAGATTGCACACAGACTAAAGCTGGTCGGAGGAAAGCGCGGCCTGAGGATTGCCGCCAAAAGTGCGTCGCTGCAATGGCAACCTCCAGCAGAAAGCAGCTTGTTTGGAGTTTTGAAGCTTTCGGGTCCAGTTAACGGAACCTGCCAGGCGGATTCTCCGGAGTTTGGCACAAGATGCGCGAAAGTTTCGCGAAGGTTGGTGGACCTCCTCTCCAAATTCTGGACATGGGTGGCCAACGGGTCCCCTCCTGTGCTGCTGCACGGCTTTCGAACTGAAAAATTGCGACTTTCAATCGGGGGCTGCGGAAGTTTACTTTCCCACTGAACAGTTGCGGACTTTCGAGCCGGAACTGCGGAATTGTACTCTGCGGCGTGCTGCTGTTGTGATGGATGTTGTGAAAATGGCTCCGCGAAAGCTCCGTGACGGAGGTCGCAAATCCGACGGCCAGCTTATTGAACACTGTCGCCTCATGCTTTCGAGAAAGCATTGCCTGATGCCCTGAAGCAAGAATAGCTTATGTTCCAGAGAGGGGTGTGTCTTTCCAGCAAGGAGTTGTGTTTTTTGGCGCGTGTCCTCTTTTTTGTCAGCTACTGATGGTGTGCCACTCCGGTCAGGTTACAGCCCTGGCTCTTTGTGGTGGTGCCTGGTGCGGGCAGCTCGGCTTGCGCCACTTTCGGTAAATGATGTTTGTCAGTTCAGGATGCCGAAGCCAAGTCTGCTTTTGGACAATCATTTCACAGAGGGAATCAGCACATGTTTTTGCCAAAGGCTCTTCCTTGACACCCATCAGATATGAGGCAAGTCGAAGCTTCGGGGTTGGTTGAATCGATAGCGCATGAAGCTATGCTGCGGAGACCGGCCTCCACTTGGACAAAAGCTGCCTCGGGTTTTTCTTAGATATGCATTGTAAAGACAGCGGCCTGCACCTTGCCACATGAGAAATGGATGCACACTATGCACAGTGCTGCTATAAATAATTGTTTGTGCCTTGGAAGAGCCACGTTCAACGCATGTCATGCAGCGTTTATGTTATGGGTTCAATGCAATGCAATGGTAATGTAATGCAATGCATGTATGCTTGTATGCATAGGTGCGCATGTATATGTGTGTTTACACCGATATGCTGATCATGCTTCATTTATATGAATCAAGCATGACCCAAGCAGGGGCACCATTGCACGTATTTGTCTCTTCTTCAGTTACTGTACACCCACACACACACAGGAGATGACACTGAAATCATGCACATAGAATTTGACCTTCAGACGCAAGAAACTACGTTGTTTGTGTCGAAATGCAAAGCGCGTTGTCATTTGTTTATTTGTTGGACCTCGGTGAACACTTCACAACTTGTGGCAACTCTGGTACTAGTAGGGCAATGGATTTGTATTGATTTGCACGGCTACAATGGCGTAGGATGCGTGCGCGACAGCTTGTTAGTTGGTTGTTTCAAACAGGCTTCCCGAAAGTATGCTGCATTTCGATGCTATGCAATGCGGCTTCCTGTTGTGTTCACTTTGCGTTTTGTTTCTTCTTTTTTCTCAGATCCTCACTCTCCCCAAACTGGGTCCTATGCTCCAGTCAGAGAGGAAGTGAATTGGACTGGACAGTTTTGTCAAAATGCTTACTTAGTAGACCCTTTTCAACTTGTTTGGCCTGCATTAGTATCAAGCACTTGGTTCTCTAGCCCATTTGCGTGATTTCAAGCACTTGGTTCTCTAGCCCATTTGCGTGATTCTTGCACCGTTTGCTGCCCAGGATCGCAATGAATGCGTCCAAAGATAAGGCATCGCCCGATCGCTACTCGCCGACGACGGTTACATCTTGAGGGGAGAACCTATGAGCGCAAGAAGTCTCGGTTCAGTCTGGGGAACCTTTTGTTTGGATTTGGAGGTTGCCATCGACACAGCGGAGGGAGGGGCTTTGTGGAGGGCCCTCTGGACCCGCAGCCAAGCAGATGTTCGCTGACTCCATCTGTCATTTAGGCATCTATATCATTTGCATATTTTCCTGTTGGCAAGCACCCTGGCCACGCGAAGGAAAGCTGAAACGTTTGAGGAGTCCCATTTTGTTTCAATCCACTGGCTTGGGTTAAGTTTTGCACAGATTTGCAACAAAGACAAGCGAGTGTCCGGGTTTTGTACGTTATTCATTGCGGGCAGGCTGGAATTGATATAGGTAGCCTGCGTTTCAGACATTGTTTCAGAGATAGATCTAGCATGACAAAGCGCTCGCACTTACAAAAGCTGATTGATGAGATCACGCGGCGCTTGCAGAGGGCTTCTATTGCCTGGCTAAGGAATCAGAATAATGTGGGGAGACGAACAGGAGATTCCGGTCAACGTAGGAAGCACGATATTAATTTCCCGCATGTTGCAATGAACACCGGCTCACACTTGAAGATGAGAGGTTTAGTGGCTGCCCTTTTGTTGTAAGCCTTGATACCACAAGGTGTGTACCAGTATTTGTTTTGACAAGAAGGTTGCTTTTATTTGCCATTGTTTCTTTAAGAGCAATCCCGGTCCCACGACTTTGCACTCCTCAGTGCGCAGGATAGCCCCACGACTGGAGACTTTGCTGGGACCTCAGTGACATGCACAACGCCCCAGGCGTTTGAAGGGGACAAGACGCTGCCCACCTGTGGCATGGTCAAGACAACGAGTGGCGCAAGGTGGTCAAGGGGAATCGATCCTATGGCTGTCAAAGAGAAAGCCCACTCAAGCCCCGTTGAATTTGCTGCACTTTGAATGGGCATGGCTACGCCTGTCGCGCTTCCACGATTGCGAAGCTGTGGGTCGAGGAAACGAGGCCAAAAGAGTGGATTCATACTACACGCCAAGACTTAAGAGGTGCCTCCTGCCTAAACCCAAGCTTACATCCCTCCCTCGGATCAGTCCAATGGGTGACTTCCAGGTTTGCCATGGTCAAGACTCCCCTTCCAGGCCGTCACACCGCTACGGGATCCGCGTCTGAGCAAATCGCGGGCTTCCGGCTCCCAGCCTGGAAGCATTGGCCTCGAGCATACCATCCAAGGGGTTGGGGCATGTCTTCACTTTGGGGACAAAGACGATACGCAAATCTTCCCCCCGGTCCCTGGAGAGCAACCACTCCCAAATTCGCTGAATCCAACAGGGCGGCCAGGGCAGAGCGCCCACTGTGAGCCCAGCCCACACCTTGACATGAGACAATGGTGTCGTTCAATCTGACCAGGTAGAGCTTTATCAGTTATGTATATATATATATTGTTTGCATTCGCTTCCCCCGGATCTCTTTGTCCCATGCAAGAAGTCTTATGGACTGCTTTCGGATCCATTCCCCAAGTTCCCAATTGAGTGCTTCGTGCGGATGGCGTGGTCTTCCACGACCGCGGACATCGGGTCCTGGCTGCCGGGCGACGCTTTGCAGCGCCAGCACGGGGATGCAGCGGAGGCTGAAACGAGTGGCAATGGGATGTTGGGGGAAGGCTCAGGAACGAGCGTTTAAGGCCTTGCACGTGATTGTTTGTTTGTTTGTTTGTTTGTTTGTTTGTTTGTTTGTTTGTTTGTTTTTCTTATCTTAGCTGTAGGCCCTTGAGTTGGAAATCGTTGATTGAATGTTTCCAGAAAGCCCATTGGATGGGTGGTTACTCTTTTGTTGCCCTTTGGAGCAGTCCCAAAAGGATTCCATCAAGCAAACAGACACTGTACCCGTATGTGGAATGTGAGACAATATCTTCTGACTGGGAATGTGTTGGACATGGTGCAAGGATCGCTTGATTTCTTGCGTCACCTGAGACGTGTCAGGCGTTTTTCCTAAAAGTTCACAGGGGCCGCCCGGCCGTGCATATTAAACGGAGCGTATGATTTGCATTGAACAAGATCCCACACTAAAAAGGGGACCGCATTTTGCTATTTGTTTGGCATCGCTCCTTACGCGACTTTCTGCCTCGCCGCGCAGAACCCCGAGCCAAGTCTGACCCAGTGCAAGATTCTATTCCGCTGGCTTCGATCAAGCGCATGGAATTTGGACTCTGTGGCTCTCTCGCATCCTGCCCGTATGTCAGGCTCGGAACTTCATCCGCGCCTTGCCGTGCAGCAAATCTGCATGCGGAGACTGCAGATGTTTCTGACAGTGAGCTAGCTGTCTCATCTAGAAAGAATATGAAAGAGTTAGGTTGTGGCTTTGGTTGTTGCTCTTTGTGGACCCCAAAGGCGTCTCGTTTCCTACAATAAAAGCTTTAGTGCTTGATTTGACCACATACCAATCATTTCTTACCGAGGGTGCATGCTGGAGTTTTTTAGTTTAACCTTTAAGATGGAGATTAAAATGGAGAAGAAGCAGTGGCAGTCCCGTTTGGGACCACGCAACGTCATGTACAGCTTGGCCGCCCAATGTGCTTTGGATGGGATCGAGAAGCGCCTTGCTCAAGCGATACCACTTGAAAGATGGTATGAATCAGGGTATGCACAGTTTGGATAGTCTTTTAGACGGAAACGCGAGCCTGAGCCGACCAAAAGCTTCAGACTGCCTTGCCATTGCAGATGTGGTGACAGGTTTGATGCGTCAGTAGCTAAAATACGAAGAAGCAAGTAATTACATCGAAATTTGTAAACTTCCGGGCTCTTCGACTTCTTCGATGATGGCAAGAGTGTGATAGCGGCATTCCCCGCTTGCTTGCCGACAACAACGCAAAAGGTCAGGCCCACGGTTGAGCGTGCTGGGCTCTTGAGGAACACTTCGCATGTTTACACTATAGCCTGACATAGCCTGGCTACGATTCTCAAAGAGAAGATGCCTTTTAGGGCGCGCACCGTCCAAACTTTAGGTCCGATCTCATGCTTTCTGGGGAGCAATTGTAGATCACGAGGCACAGGCATAGGATGGCCCCTGGCTCTTTAATTTGTTTTCTCGGCCTTTCGAAATTGTTCACTAGCTCTTGGAGGGCTACCCGCATGTAGATCGAAGAAGTGGGTCTTCCTCACGCTCCAAGCTTTTTCGTTCTTTTTTTCCTTGGGATTTGCGCGGCCTCCATTTGCCCCACCCCCACCCCACACCCAGCCCCCCCTTCCCTCCCCTCCGCCCAATCCCCCTCCTCCCAGGATGGCACGGCTGCAGGGAGATCCGGGCCGACCTGCCGCAGCACCTGCGACATCTAGCGCCCCTCGGCACGGATGGATGGACCACTCCCCCCAGTCCAACGGGGAATTTCCAGGTGCGGTGTCTGGATGGAAATTTATGTACCACCAATATGGCTGTGGGTCAAAACCAATGGGATGCCATTTTGGGGGTTTTCGGTGCACCACCCATTTAGGACCTATCTTAGTGGGGATTGGGATGTTCACTGGGGGTACGGGATTTTGACCCATGGCCATATAAGCTTGTAGCGCAGCAAACAACCTTGTGCAGAAATTGTATATCAACATACGTCCAAGACCTAGACCTGAAACTGCCCTTGACCCATAAACCGCGGAGGCACCAAAGCTGGACAATTTACATTCCAGACTCATGATCCAGATGATGAGTGCTGCAGAGGCAGCACTAAGTCGATACTATACCAATACTGAATGAACGCCAAGTTCAATCTTGTACAACATCCTACTGACAGCTAATATTGCCAACGGATACCAATACAATCATTAGGTGTAAGACCAAGGACATACCTAAATGCACCCAACCAGACGCAGAGTTAATACCGCCCGCCGCTTATCACTGTGACAACACCGGATTGACAGGCCCGACAATCTGGCCTATCATGCGCAAGAGGATATTGAGCGGGATGTATAGTCAACATTGTTATTTGGTCTTGGTTGGGCACAGAACTGATATCGGTAGCATTTTCCTTAACTCCTTGCACCCTTGTCACAACTAGTTCAACGACCTTTCTTGGTGATACAGGAAATTCAATTCGAGGGGTGGCTTTGCCGACCCTTGCTATTGCTGGAGAGTATGGCATGTTGATTGAGCAATCTGTGCTTTGCGTTTGGGCTCAGTGGATTCTTTGCAGAAGTGACGGTGCGTTGCAGGATATTGATTGCCGTTTTTGTATGTTTGGGTTCCAAGTCAAAAGCATCAATAAGATGTTTTGAAAGCAGGACATCATGCAACATTGGGTGCCTACATTTGCTGTAGCAACACGGCAATGCAGATTTGAAATCCAGTCCATACATGATGCCCCAATGGTGGACAACTCACCGGTTCTGCCTTTGCAAACTCACCGCCACTGCAAGTCTTCTGGTTGACGTGCTGATTGTCGTCGCTGGTTCACGAGCTCATCCATTGAGATCCATTGAGTGCATCAATTGGTTTGTCAATGTTGTCGTGTTTCACCCTGAGGGTGCAAGTCAATCACGAGCGGCCAGCCATGTCTAGTGCAACTGCGAATTTCTGCTCGCCCCAGGCACTCCAGATGGAACCCAGACAAGCAGGAGCCCGGCGTTGCTTCAGTGTGCGGAAACCCAGAAGCTGACAGCACGAACGTGAACTTATACGCCCCCGCAGAGTTGCTTTTGGTGGTTTGTGTCGATACGTTGGCCAATTGTTAAGCATTTATCCTGTGGTCATAGTGTGCTTTGTTTGCGTTTTGCAGATTTCAGATTCAGCCACTGTTGTTTTTTGCTGCTTGATCGGAGCTTTGTCTTGGGAGTTGTGCTTTGAGCCTCTGCTTGATGCTGAAGTCCACCAACAGAGTGTCAATCAAATGGCTCGTGATTGCTCCGGGTGTTGGTTCAGCAGATGAAGTGGGATTCTGTGAATCCCTTATTGAATTATTGCTCGTTGTCAAAGAAAAACAACATTTTGCACCTTGCGCCGCATCCTCGGTCTTTCTTGTTTGCAGAAATATTCAGGGCATTTGGATATATGTCAGTGACGATAGCAGGCCAGGGCCCCATGATTTGACATGTGGGGTAATGTCATGGACTGCTCGTGGCGAGCTGCGGCAGTCGCTTCTAAGGAGCAAGGCGCCCGAGAAGGAGGCTTGTGGTTTGCGAGTGCGAGTGGGTACTGGCAACCCCCCAACTCTAGCCCCCCATCCAACTCTGTGGTTTCTTACCTACGCGGAGACATTCTGTATATTAGTCGTTCGGCAACGATTTTGGTTCCTCGCAGAGACATTCTGGCTGGCTCAATCTGAAAGACTTGGGAAGCTTCTTGATCATCGACGAACGTGTGCGTGTGTGCGTGGTTTGGTGGGTGTGTTTGTGTGTTTTGGTTTGATATTTCTGCCGTGTTGTAGCTGGATCCCTGATTGGAGAGCCAAGACATAGGAAGGCCTGATTCAAGAAAGACTGCAATCAAGATTGTAGGTAGCTTTCCCAGAGTCAATTGGAGCTTGACCTGGCAATGCCTGCACCTTGTTTGAGGAATCGGATCTTTTGACCCTGGAACCAAGCATGCAGAGTTCCAACTTTGGCCCTCGACCAATCCTAGTTGGCCTTGTTGTGGTTTTGTGCACTGATTTATAAAGCGAAGTGTAAAAAGCATAAACTCATCCTGAAATTACGTTACTCATCAAAGTAGTGTGGTACGTGGGACCCTATTAACAGGCCCGCGTACGGGCACCAAGCAATCCCACCCCAGAGGTTAGTTGTTGTCTTAT